TACAGATGGCAGTTAAGTATGTTTACATAATAAATTCAGGGTCATATGGTGGTTGCGGCAATGGGGGAACCTTGGGGAGAAGGCAAACTTTTATCAGAGCTGGTCTCTAAGCTTAATGACAGTGTCTATTATTTTTGTGCATTCTCAGGTATTATAATGTTACACTAAGCACTGAAATAAGCCAGTCAGCAATGCTATTGAGTCCACCACAAGCAAAATTAGACAGCTGATGGAATAATTTTGAAAGAAAGAAGAAAACAGAATCATGTCAGTTATAAAGCTAACTTCTAATGCCAGCCTTGGAATCCATATGTTTAAGTTTTAACAAAAATGTTTTTCCCTCATATTCTATTCAATGTTTTCAAAGATCTATCTTTAGAATACATGTGAAAAGTTTACCTCCACATATATGCATGTTCAAACAGACATTATAGACAAATTAATAAATAAGGGTTTTCTTACTTTCTGAAATTATACAAGATGAATTTTAAGAGAGGGCCATTAACAGGCTAAGGCGACATTTTAGTCTATCAAACTGACTAAATTAAGTAGGAAACAGAAATGATGATTGCAAAAGAACTTTCATAGTCCAGCCAGGCCAAAACACAAATTCTCTCAGGAAATTGCATAAATATCCTGGCCCAACTCACTTTACCAACACCATCTTAAATAGCCTCAAAAACCCTATCCCAAATGAGCAAGAATTTCATATTTATATAAATATACTTAGGGGCTCAAGCACAGAATACCAAAAATACTTTTTTTGATGAAGAACAAATAATTATTAGAGTTACAAAATGTCATTTGGTTTGATGACGAGATGTTCTTGGTTTGTTTTCTTTCAAATACCAATCTAATTTTCTTCTGACCTTGTGCCTGAGGTTTGATTTAATTAACGGGAATTTAAACTATTGATCTATCTAAATATCCCCAATAAATACGTAAAGGAAACTACTAACTAATTTCTTCTAAAAAGTTCAGATCTTTTTATTGAATGATTTTAATACCAGGAATCAGATTATCCCTGGGGCCAAACAAAAGCCCTGAGACCTTCTGTCTCAACAAGAGGCAAGGCCTATTTCTCATCCTCATCTTCTGGTTCCTAATGACTGAGAGAGATCCTATTTCAGGTTCTGGGGCATTCTGCATGACTCAATGTGGGATTTAAGACAAGTTAAAAGGAGCCCAGTATTAATAAATCAATTCATCAGTGGCTTTAGGATCTTAGGGAACCATTTTTAATACCTAGTTTTATAAATCATTAGGGTCTCATAAATCCCAACATTCTCTTTAGTTCACTCTGTAACTTTCACCACACTGCCATCTGGGGACTCAGTGACTCAGGAGACAGCTGTGGCATAATGGAACGTCACTGGACTGAAACATCAAAGACCTGGGTTCTAGCTCCAGTCCTCTCCCTTAAAACCTGCTAGTTCTGAGGCAGGCCTCCGAAACTCTCGGAGACTCAGTCTCACCATATAAAGCAAGAACATCACTGCCTACCTGATGTGGCTAACGTGAGGGTTAACTGTGTAGGGTGTTCAAAATGAAGTGCTAGGCAAATACCAGATATTATTTGTCTTTGTACTATATTTCTTAAACTATTACTTTTTGTAAAGAAACATGAACCAGAGCAATAAAGACCTCTAGTCCCTACATGGAAGCGTTTCTTGAGCACCCGAAGTGAGCCAACCCTATGGATTTAAGTAAGGTTGGTCTTCCTTTCAGCTTAGCAAGTTCCGGGCCAGGTCCTCATTATATTTTAGAGAACATCACCAGGGAGAACTCTGAAGAAAGAAATTGTGATAGAAGATAAGAATTAAAATAGGTACACCACGAGAATATTTAATAAATGTTCCTGAGCCAAGAACCTCATGAAGAACACTGGATAGGCCATTTTTAATAGTTTTATGTTACTACCCACAGATTTTGCTTCCTGAACTTTCTAAATTTTCTATAAAAAAGAGAGTCTGAGATTTAGCATAGTACGTCTGTAGTCACTTTACACAATGGAACCCTAAAGCCACCACATCTACTAACCTCCCATTGGTTTTCACATTCTCTTCGTTCTATTTTGCCATTCTACCAAGCAAACCGAGAGTCAGGATGTAACTTGTACATCCTTGTAAATAATACTGCCGTTACTCTATAACGTCACCATCACCATTACAATGACTCCGTGGCCCGCTGAAACGCAAATACCTCAGGGAAAGTTAATACTAATACTACACTAATACACTAAAATGCTCTTATCAGTGTTTCTGTACGTCAGAAAAAGAGGGTTGGGAAATTCATTAGATTTTTTAATAAGATTTATATAATTAAAAAAATAAGTTTTGATAGGAAAAGGGAGTGAACAGGAGGTAGCAGCGGGCTTGAGGGGGAGGGGTGCGCACAGACACACATACACCCACAGAGCACATTACCCTTGCTTTGCAAACCCAGTAAGAAACGCTTTGCACTGCAAATGCCCACAGAACCAGCAGGAATCGAGGTTATCTTGCTAAGCACAGAAGGAAGATGCCCAGCAGAAGAGTCCAGCTCCTGGTCCTTAACTAAAGTAAACAATAAATATTACAGTCACTTAAACTATCAACAGTGTATTTAAATAACACCCCCAAATGGTCTGCAACATGCAAACTAAAAATCCTGATAAGATCAATTAATTGCGAGTGCTTTGTTTCTACATTCTTCTCTGCTACATGGCAAGTTTATGTCTCAGCAAAGAATGGCTTTAAATGCCTTAGGGAAAAGCTCTAAAAAACAAAAGTCTTCATATGTTAATATATTATCAATATTTGTAATATTATTGCTATTTTGAAAAATTAATATCAGTGTTTCCCTTGGTTGTATAATAATGTAGGAACATTAACCTGGTGATTTTTATTTTTAATTTGTTAACACAAATGCTTTTAAATGGGCACTTGCAATAAAAGATAAATCAGATGTGGTAATGGCTTCTTTTGTAAAAGCCGTGTGTAAACAGCACATAAAGATGACAAGTCAAGCAGCAGTAGCCCATTCTTCAGCCAAAAAAGGAAACAAATGAAGAAAGAACAAAAATTACCAAAAAAGAAAAACAGCCCCTGCCCCCTGTCCCCAAAAGCCTCATAAATAATAGTTTTGGTACACTTTGGGCGGAAAACTCAGGCCAACAGGCGGTTTGAAAAAAGACATTAGAATCACAAAGACTCAAGATGGGGATAAACTAACAACAGGAAAACCATGTGGCCAGCAAAAGATGATCTAAAAATTCTATCTTTCCTATCTAGGGTGTCACTCTTTATCATGCAATACATTTCTCTTCATTCTAAGTTTTCTCTCTTGGCTATACCCCCACCTCACTTTTTCTTTCTTTTTTTTTTTTTTAATAAAGTTTGTATGCTATCGGCCCCTAAGTAGAAATACATCCTGGTGGTGCTCACTAGCTTCTCCACGAAACTTGAGTCATTTTCATGGTCCAGTGTTATTCTCTGGCATATAAAGATGACTTCAGGATAAAGGAGCTTTAGGAAGAGGTTGATTTTTATTAAATTATAGTTAGTAAAATTGCTTATTATAAGAAAATTACTCCATAGTGCATCCTTTCACAAATGCCAGCAAATGAAATTTGCCAAAGCAATTATCCTTCAAACATAGTTTTTATAATTTCCTAAATAGTACTGTTATTAGATTATCCCCAGAATAGGTGAATGTAAAAGCAAACAGCTTCAAAATCTGTGCCTGATGCAAAATTTTAACTATTAGGTAATAGAAAATTTTGCCTTAACACTGCACTCACCAGCAAGGACTCCACAGATGAAATGAGTGTTCTCAAACCTAAACAGAGCTATAGAGGTCAAAGTAATTGAGCAAATATTAAAGGATAACTAAACATGTCTAGGAGACAGAAGCCTTTGGCCGGTCAATTTTATTTCACTATATTAAGAAGGGTTGAGGTGGAGAGATGGAGACGAAGGAGCCATAAGCAGTACAAAAACTCTGATCATTTAGTATGGAACATAATTAAATATATTTGGCAGGACTTCCCAGAAGTCCCAATTCCAAAAATGATTAAAGCCACAATAAGCATTTAAGAAAAATATTATGCCTCCATCTGATATCTAAAAACCAGCAGCTTGATTCCACAGAACTAAATATAACAGACAGCTATTATTAGATACTAAGTAACTGTCTTCTCTTCCTGAAAAATCTTGTAATAATGAAAATGGCTTTGCATGTTAACATTTTCAACATATTCCTAAAAGGAACGTGGCTTTGGAGAAAGACTCCAAAATTTTCATACTACTTAGATGTGGCCACAAGGTACATACTTTGAGCTGGTAAACAGACCACTTCCAAATATGTAATGTTGGTTTTATGTCATCACCTGGATAATACAATAGAAACTAGAACTGTGCGAGTAAGATAAGAGAGGAGGGTTACCCAAGGTGAAGTAAGAGATAAAGTGGTATACCTTCTGTGAATTCCACATTACAGGAGCAAGCTCTCCTCACACCCACATAGCCACACCCACTCCACTCTTCACTCTTCAATATGATCAGAGCGGCAACACTGGAGGGTTAATAACCACTAATTTGTAGAGTGCTTTTTTAAAAAAACAAAGCCAAAGACATATTCAGCATATTAAAAATACTTCTAACAGATGTGACAATTACATGTGTTGTAGTGACTGATTAAGTTGGTTAGAAAAAAGCTATTTTTAAAACTTGGTATAAATAAGTCAAATGAGTTCCAAGCTGATTTAAAACATTAATATTCTGAGAGCTGAACACTTGCCAATAGGTCATCTCTGTTTTAGGACTGAGCAAAAGACAATCACTGGGCCACAGAGAAGAGTGAAAACATGGAACAACAAGAGAACTTTTCTAGAAGACCGGCTGACAGTACCTCTTGTTGATCCGCTGACACAGAGGTTCCTTTTCCTTTTTTTGGTAGTGGCTCTGTTTATGCACAACATTAGTGGCTCCTATTTCCTTAATGACTAGTATCAACCAGAATCAGATTTGCAATAAGATTTATTCATGATAAATTTACATATTAACAGAGCAAATAATATGAGAAAAATATCAAAGACAATGTTCCAAAGAGAAGTTCTTAGCAGATTTCTTTAGGCTTATACACCTTGCCGAACTGCTAATGGAAGAACAATTTATTCAACCGAGCATCAGGGCTGAAGGATCCTGGACCAGGAAACTGAAAGGAACACAGGTTTAGGGACTTACTAGAAAGCACTCCCAAAGCTATAGAGATCAAGAAATCCTTCTGAACACAGCCACATCAAGCAGGGAGCAAAGACCCTCCCAAAAGAATATAACTTTATTTTATTCTGGCTTATTGGTAAATACCACCCAAATAGGCCCTGAATTGGGGAATTCTTCTCAGACAAATCTCTATTTTGAAAGAGGAACCCTTCTAAAATGTTTTCCTTAGATACCCAACCTCAAATATATCCAACTACTGGAAACATTAAGGTGTACCAAAAGTTCAGAGTGAAAATCATTTCACTTTCTTTACCATGTTCCCTAGATAGCTCTAAAACTTGGCTAAAGAGAAGATGAATGTGGGAATTGCTTCTTTATTCCTTAGGGGAAAATGGAGGCAGACCCTTCAAAACCAAACAGAACAAAAGGGTTAGCTGGATTCATCAATGACTATGTTAGGACACAGTAAACATAGAACAATTTGGAAAACTGACGAGGGCAGGGGTGCTGTGGTGGTTACAGATACTTCAGATGTACCCTGACCGCCAGATAGCCAGAAACAAATGCCTTGTCTGTTGTTTTCCATTTCTAATCATAAACAAGACCAAAAATACTTCAACACTGAATGAAGATGCTAAGACACAGCTACAGCTCTTCAAAACAGGACAAAGGCAGAAAATGTAATCAATCAGAGCTCTGGTTCTTAGACCTATATCAGGGGTCAGCAAACTACAGCCAGCAGGCCAAATCCAGCCCTCTCCTTGTTTTCGTATGGCTATGAGCCACATTTTTAAATGGTTGGGGAAAAAAATAGAATAGTATTTAGTGACACACAAACTTATATGAAGTTCAAATTCCAGTGTCCATAAATAAAGTTTAATTGGAACACATTCACGTTCATTTGTTTATTTATTGCGTATGCTGCTTTTGCTCCACAATGGCAAAGCTGAGTTATGACAAAGACTACATGGCCTGTAGAGCCTAAAATATTTATCTGGTCCTTTACAGAAAAAGTTTGCCAACCCCTGGTCTATCTGATATACAAAACTCTTATATCACAGGAGTTTGATACGTCTGGTGTTTTCATATCACGTAAAACACAGGACAAATGTATCAAAGTGCTCTCTGTATTGTATTTTAGATAAATACAAATCGTCAAATAACAGGTTCCCCTTATGATATCACACTCCAAGATGAATTTATACATACAGACAAGCACCCCAGTCTCAATAATATGTTCTACAGTGAAAATAGTTGATTATTACCTGTGGTAAATGGATAAAAGCTTTTAGTTGAACCAAATAACAAGACATTAACAAGAGAGACTGACACCTACCACAGAGTCATACACGTAGATTCTTTGAATAAACCAGGGACCATACTACAGGATTAACAAGAGAGACAGTGACTTCTGGGCCATTTTTGGGTTTTTGGGCTACCTGCAGGTACTGAGTGGGCATATGGTAATTAACTTGGCACAAATTTGTGTCCTAATACAAGAGATTGTAAGTGAAAAGTTAGAGTTTATTCATAACCATCTGTGACTAATCATTTAATTCAATTTAATAAATATTAATTATTTATTATATATCTGAGATACAAAGGTAATAGACTGGCAAACAGAGATGAGTAAAACAAGGCCTCTCACCTTTGAGAATTTCACGGTTTTGAGAAGACAGGCACAAACTAAAAGAGACGGATTACCAACATTTCAAATTTTTAATGTCACTTTTTCTGGTGGGGATCTAAAGTTTGCATAATTTTATCATATCACACCAGTATAAATCAAATCACTTGGGTGTGCTAAAGTATGTAAAGGTTAGTCAGGCTATCAAAGAAGGCGAGCAAACTTAGAATGCAGGCTCTGGTGGTGTGCTTCTTCAAAATATAATAGTGATGCTACCTTGTCAACAGATTCTGGGCTACAAGAAGTTTCCAAACATACAAAACTATCCCACCCCGACTCTTTTATCTAAAAAAAAAAATTCCAAGTACCTGTGTTATCTATGAAGAAGCTGGGATTTCCAGGAATTTCAAAATGTTCTTTTAGGGAGGGTAAGTCAATGAGTAGGGACATAAAGCTGAATAAACCATAGGAAAGCACTATGGGCAATAGAGCCAGAATAAAGAAAAAGAGCTGATAAAACAAGGAAAGGTAGAAAAAGAAAGGAAGAAAGCGGAAGGATAACATGCTAGGAGGAAGACTGAGACAGATCTGAATATTAGATGATAAGGTATCTGAGGGCAAGAATTGTGACTAATTCCAACTGTGAGAATTACTTTTAACTATGTGAAGAGCTTATAATGTGGAAAATAGAAAATTCTTCAGAATGCCTTCGTTCAGGACCAAGAAGTAAAAGCTATAGGGAAACAGATTTTGACTTAATATAAGAATGATTTCTATATAAAAATCAGAGATGTCCAAAGATGAGACGTGTTGTATCTTGGGAGATATTTAATCACAGGCTGGGACACCACTTGGTCTCTAAATCTCTAACTGATACCGTACAAAAGAATCAAGCATTGGAGGGAGAGGAGTTGGATGAGGGGCCTGTCCGATTCTAAATTTCTGATAACGCTGACTCTTTGCATCGCTGTAATACAATGCCCTAGTGGGCAGTGAACAAATGAATCGATAGCAGGAACCATGTTTTTCCCTTAATTCTTATCCTGTTTTGTTGAAATAAGATCCTGCACATCTGAAGACTTTTCCTTAAAGAGACAGTAGAGGAGAAAATGAGAGACTAAACTGTATCCTTTATTGTTTTTGGGGGACCTGAAGAGATGGTTGGGACTTTCTGCCTCCCCGCCTCCTTCATCTTTGAAATGTTACATTTATTCTATTATTTACCCCAAACAGGATTTTTGACTACAATAAAGGGGGAAGCTACCCTCTAGGATATCAATCACAAAAGATTAGAAAAGCATTCCTAAAGCAGATGTTTCTTCAACAATCTGTCATCTATATATTTAGTTAGGCTATTAAAGTTATTTAGTGTTTAGCCTGTATATCTGATCTGTGGGAGTAATAAATTCCTTTGTCTTCTTTTTGCCTTTCAAGTTCTAGTATGACAGGAATTTCGTTTACAAAATGAAATAGTCCATGAATTTGTAACTGTTGATCATAGCCACCCCTCTTCCTTCCAGCCTAGCTTTATATGGGTTCCTCACCCTAACCATACCTTCTCCACCATTCCTAGGTCTGCATCAATGTGTTTCTTTTCGTGTCATGTTCTGCTGCAGTAGAAAAGGAGATCCTGAGGCATGAGAGTAACAGCAGCAGGCATGAGAGCAGGCTCACTGATACTACCGCCCAGTGTGGAGGAGGCAGATAGAGCATCCCACAGGCCATGCATCATAGAGAAGAATAAGGAGTTGTCTCTGTTTCTGGTACCCAAATTACAACAACAGGGGTAGTTTGAGTGCAATGAAAAAAATGAAATTTCTATGTATGATAGAAATGATATAATGGTCTTTCTCAATGCAGTAGAGAATGTTGTAAAAGTCTGGAATTTTATCATGTCTGTGAAGAACAGAAGGGAAGAACTCTGTAGAGAAGTTCTATATATCTTTAATATATTCCATACCCTTGACCAAAAAAAAAGCAATAATGAGAAAGTGTCTCATATTCTTTTTGAGTTTTCTGTCTTCCTTTTGCAAATAGGTGATCACTGGGTAAAGCCCAAGCACAAATTTTGATTGGTAATGCCTTCTAAATCACAACCAAACCTCTAATGCCTAGTGTGTCCTACATGCTTATCTGTAGGAAGTTACAGAAGTGACTTAGGAATGTAGGAAAAAGTGAATCGGCTTCTACCCACAGAAATATCAGAGTAAAATTTACAATAATATTTAATAGAAAGAAATGTACTAGGATCTAGGATGACTACTGGAAATCTAACCCACAGTTAATCCCAGTCTAATTTTAGTCAACAGAGTCAAAATCTTCTCCCTTCAAAACTTTTACCAAAGATGTAAACAAGTAGTAAAACTGACCTATGAAAACGGAATCTCCTTCATATTCCAAGTGTTAGCATAAGAAAATGGCTAAAAGATAGGTCCAAAATATAGATGCTGGGTTTCTTTTCAAATATGGTCCACCCTAAGTATACCATATGGATAAGATGAATTGCTTAAGAGGATGATGAATCTGGAAAGACATTTTTTAACTTTACCAGTTTTAAGTGCTTGGTCAAAGGAGTAGATGGAAATAAACACAGCTATTTAATTGCTTACTTTCACATAAAAAATTCCAAGAAGTTAATGTGTGTTTTTTTGTTTTTTAATTTCCATCTTCCCAGTCCCCAAAGGACCAAGAATGGAATGACAGCCAGGGCTTCTGGCTCCTGGAACAGGCTACAGAGTCATTCTCACGAGGTAGGTTTGTCTCTACATTACTAGGTGGAATTCTGGGCACCAAGTAGTTAAGTGAACTTCTCAGAGTCATCCTAGAAACGACTAATAGCAAAACCAAGGCAAACACCCAAGACTTTTTACTGGTCTGTATTGATACCTGTAGAAGATATTGTTTTTTATTTATCAACCTGCCATTAAGAAGCTGAACCAGGGTAAAACCGATACACAGTTATTTGGACCTGTCTCTGGTATTGAGAATGGAATGAGACGAGAGAAGGAAATCAAGATTATTCACAGCTTTATGTTACAGACATTGGCAGCATTAAGTTTAGGTCGTACAAAGGTATAACATCCAGTATTTTTCCACTGATAACTCTGATGGGTATATCTTTTGAGTCTGCACTGGCCCACTTAGTCCAATACGAAGGCTTGGCCCTTTTCTTCTCAACCATTCTTACCCTATTAATAGAAAAAAGGGCCTCTCCTCTGACCATCAGTAAAGATTTCTGAGAACTCCTGCCACACTTCAGAAAACTGAAAGGATTGCTGGCTTACTCTAGACTCTTAACGGACTTGGAATAACTCTAATACAAAGGGAAACAAAATTCAAGGTGAAGTTTTACAATAATAATTAATAAAAAGCTATGTACAAGGATGAAAACTGGAAATATGACCTGAAAGTTATAAAAGTATCAATAAAATTCTAAGATTATTTCCTTTTTAGTCCCTTGAAAAAATTTTAAAAGATTCTAACCAATGCTATAGTTCTGTATTTCATAAGGAAAGCTCTTGCATCTCTATTTCATAGATAAAGGGGAGTACTTATGATGATCACTTTCTGTGTTAGAGAATAACTTTGTAATATTTCAGGTTGATTTGAGGCCTCTCTCTTCTTATTATGAGTGAATCAATAAATATGCTTAATTACAAAATATGTGTTATAAACAGACATAGCCTGTGACATGAAAGATACACAATTATACCAGATTTTAAAATTTAACCCGCTCTTTGCTTCTTTTCCCGTTTTTTTGGAAAGCCTATGATGACAGAGTAGCAGTTGTCAGGAAACACCAGAGAATTATTTCTACATGTCTCCAGAGAGAAGAGAACAATAGTGGTTGGTGTTGAAAGACAAAAGATTCTTGGCTTTACTCTTCTCTTTTTTTTTTGCTCTAAGAAGCCATCATCTTAAAAACAAAAATTCTTGTTTACAGGTTTCATCAACTGAAAAGCATTGAGAAGTAAAACAAAGTACAATAATCTCAGTTTGATAACCTTATGAACTCAGATTTCGAAACCAATATTTGAGACATTAAACAAATTATCCACATTGGTACATTCAAGTGCCAGAAACAGCAAGCTACATGCAAAATTTCATTAATATTGAGGTAAGAAACAACAGATTAGGCATTCAAGTTGTGTTGTGAAGAGAGAGCACACTCATATTTACTTCACGAAGCCTTAAAAATCAACATGCAAACAGAGGACACATACTTGTCACAACAGAACTTTAGCTCACAAGGCCATGGACTAAAAACAATTGATTTCAACACAAATGTAAGGATAAACAGGTCTGAAGTCTATCAGGAAAACAAAATACATCGATACATATTTTAAGCTATTAAATGGCTAAATATTGCTTTTAGCAATATAATTACTCAAGTTATAAAGAGGTAACACAGTATTTTAATTCAGGGAAGGGGATGTTTATGTACAGATCTTGAATAACTCTGTATTCCAGGACTTTTAAAGATGGGCAGAGCAGTCTGGGAAATTCAGCCCTGGCTGGAGGCTAAGGGGCACCAGCACCATTTTACTTAAACCATCAACATTCTACCTGTGAAAAGATGGTGTTCAACCTTTGCATATCTCTTCTATACATTAGGCAGGATAAAGTTGTTTGTCCTATACATCTCAGATATACACATAAGAAGGCCACAGAAGTCAAAAGCCCTTTTCCAAAAAAGGCCTTTGTATAGACTTGTTTGATATCTCAAGAAAAGGAGTGGTTATGGATACATAGATTAAAACGTATCATTTTAAGGCTTTTGAAAGGATAGCAAGTTCAATTTTTTTCTTAAACTACAGAGCCCATGCCACACAAATGACTATAGAAGATTAGGAAAATATCCCATCAAATGTTTCTACAGAGTATCTTGCTTTGTGTGAAACATTGGAGAGGAGGGCACAGCAACAGTGAAGAATAAGAACATGCAGGATAGAAGAGTTAAAGCTTTTGGGGAAAGTACCAACCTGCCATATGCTTAAATCTAAATGCGTTAAACTTCAGCAAGGAAAGCTGGCTTGGGCAATCCATTGCTACTCCTTTGTAGCCCACGATACACATTCTACAAAGAGACATTTTATTGACAGAAAAGTGATCACAAGAGCTCCTCCAGGACAGTGAACTATCACGATCAGAGGGCATCACACAGGAGGTAACACAGCAGAAGCCAACGACAAAAGTTCAAGGGTTTTAGTCTTGACGTTTCAGATGAGCACCCTGTTTTCCGATCACAGAAAGACCAACCACCAAATAGCCAACACAAGAACCACAAGAAAAGACATCATAAAAGGAATACGAGGATATGGAAAAGTACTAGAGTAGAGGTGGCACTTTTTGAGAGACTTGTGATCCTCGGGGATTGGAATAGAAACCTTGGGAAGAATTTCTTCATTTTCTTGCTGGGGCAAGGCTCTTTCAGTAGATCTCTCTTGCCTTTTAATTTTCTCTTCATCCTGCACTAACAGAGCACGTTCCTGTGTCTGCTTTCACGGTAGAAGATCAAGAAAGACAGAGAAAGATGAACAAAATGACAGATGGAAAATGCTCAAAAATGATACTTGGGGATGTGCAAAGGATTTGGGAAGATCTTTTGGATGCTCTTTTTTTCCTTTACTTTGACAATTTATCCTGGCAAAGTTTCTGTAACACACACAGTAGGGTACTCAATGGATAATCTGTTGAATGAATGAACATTAGAAGTCCTGAAAGTTCAAGGAATCACTGGACTTCCTTAGTTACAGTATTTACTCCTCCTTCAAGTATATTCACCCATGACTTTTGGGTCATTTTTGATTGCTTCGGTGCTGCCAATTATTCTTACATCAATTGGGCAAAGCCAATAATGAAGCATTCTTCTTGCCATCAGAAAAGTTACTTTTATTACAAATAGAATGGCAGAATATAAAAAGTTACCCTAATATCTCTTCATGTAGACTTTAAAAACTGCAACAGTTCATTCAGTATGGCAATTAGCTTTTGCTCGTGGGAATAAAAATCTTAACCCTGTACATTTTAAAGATTGCAAAAGAAAAACAAAAGTATAAAAGGTTTATGTGCCACCAAGGTCTACCAAAAAAAAACCCCCAAACCCACAAATCTCAACAATAACAAACTCCCTCCCCTTCTCTCTCAGAATCATGTTTAAAAATAATAATGACCATCATAAAGGTTTTTATATCACATTAAGCAAATATTTTTGACACTTTTAAGGAAAGCTATTTTTTTTTCCAATTGTCCAATTGAGAAGCTTTTCTCCCCCCACGATTTCTGTACTCTGCCATCCAGTCATAACAGATGTTACTATGAAAGGAAAAACTTGGCTCTAAGTTCTCTCAGTTGAGCCAGCCTTCTCTGATCAGTCTGGAAGTTCAGCACTGGTTCTTTGCACACCCCTAAGTGATACGTATCAGGGAGAAAGTAGCTGGGGGACTGGTCAGCAAAAAAGAAAAAAAGGAAAAGAAAGGATGCAAAATTATAATGATTTTTAAAAGAAAATAAAAGGGAGAAGAAAGACAACATAAAAAGAATAGGGTACAATTAAATTCGTTTTCTCTCCGAATACATATTTACATCTTCATGCAGCTTTTCAACCAGCCATGCGCCGAAATAAGCAAATTGAAAGCTGCAAAAGCTGCAGCAGTGAAAATGTTCTGTGTTAGGTCAGAAGGCGGTGAGTGTGAATTTACTAGGATAGCCAAAAGAAAAAAAAAAGTACTCAGCAGCTGCTGTTCAGTTCTGGGGGGATTATCTGCTTAAGTGCCATGACAAGAGCAAATTCTGATCGAGAAGCACAAGTCATAACGGCAGCTTTACCTCTGGCCCACCAACCTTTCTTTCCGAGGGAAGGACAGAGGTTTTCTTCACCTGGTCATACACAAATTATATACAATTCAGTTGCCTTGAAATGCAAGAACAATGCTGTCAAAGGTGGAAGAGGTATCCCCAGAGAACAGAAATATTGTCCTAATTATTAAGGAAGTGAGATATGCCAGAAAGGGGAATTATCCCATATAAAAAAGTTATCACAGTATGGTTCTTACTTATCCCATCATGCATTTAGAGGGATAATACACCTAAACATAGAGCTAAAGTTGCTTAAGTACTCCCCACTGATCTAATTTAATTTATAAAAAGTCATTTCTTTAAAGTCCACAAAATGACATAGCCATTCCCCAAGCCAGCCCTGAGATGGTTTCTGAAGGGTTTCTATTAAGATATTTTCTGGAAATGGAGACCGATTCAAATTTACCAAACTTCATCCAAGAGAGTACTAAGTTACTTTTTCAAAGTAGTTGAGCATCTTTTATTATTTGCACAAAGTCAAAAAGAAAACTTCTATAAAACATGCAGGTATGGTACGCAGATAGGGTTACCGAGGAGAGGGAGCAACAAGGCATTTTCTCATGGAGCCACAAACTCACAGGAAACAGAATCACTGTCTCAGTTCAGGGTCCATTCTCTGGGTTTAGAATAGAAAACTAATGTCCATTCACAGCAGGGAATGGAGGCTGAGAGGACAGTGAGGAGGAGCATCCCTGGGAACTATTCACCGCCCGTCATTCAGGAATTCTCCAGTCTCGGTAAAACTGGTTCAACTCTTATTTGGAGAATCGTTAGCCAATTTTAATCACATTTTGAAAAAATATAAAAAATACAAAAGTTTGAGAACGAACTTTTATTATCTTCTCCAGTTCCAGAAACTAAACAATAAGTTGGATAATTTACTCTGAATTCTGAATATAAAAACAAGGGTTTTTTTTACTTATTAAGACACCACTTTCCCTTTCTTAACTAGAACAGCTACTGCCTTGGGGGAAAAACAAGCATATAATTTTAAAACCAGTACAATCACTCAGTGAGTCACTGTGACTATTTATTTAAATCTTTTACGTATAGGCTAAAGATTAAGTAAATAATTTTAAAATATATGCTTAAGGTAACTTTTAATATATTCTCATTACACAGATTCATTTATTCAGGTGTAGGATTTCTAAAACAGGTAATGACAACAACAATAGAAAAAGGAGAGCCTCTGAAAGCCATCTCTGGCTTCCTCTAATTGTGACTATCTCACAAAACAGTGTATTAAAAGTTTGATGTTATTCATAAAAATAAAATAAATCATCAATACTTTTTCTAAAATTGAAATCCAATCATTAATACTTAGGGTCTTGCGTTCTCTGGCTTAGGGGCCTTCTTGGTTTATTACATAATTGTGGTCAACCATTCCAGACATTTCCAAGTCGTGCAAACGTTCAAATAAAGTTTTTAAAAAATGCTTATCCCTTTCCAATTTTGACCTTACTAAATTTAGTCAACTCTCTGGTCCTTGAAGGCACAGTTTGAACATAAAGTTCCATTGGCTTATGGTCAATTTGTAAACACACACTAGCCAGAAGCACGCAGCTGCAGACAGTTCTCAGAGTCTGGTCAGCTCTGTACCTCTGACTGGCCCCCACAATTGGAGGGGGTAGTCCATATGACTTAAAAAACGAGTGTTTGATTAGGAATGCCTTAAAGCTGCAATGAATTGGTGAGGCACTGAAGTTAAACTTCAGCTCTAAACTTTCTCTCAGATACAGAATATTAACATACAGACACATCTATTTCACACATTCTCACAACTGGTCACATGGACCAAATACTCACTCCTTCTCCTGTGGGGATTTGGCCATTGATGTTAGGTGTTCGGAATGGGGAGTGAGTGGATAAGCGTTTATCCCATTCACTAGGCCGTGGTTCTGGTACAGATTCCATGAAATTCTTTTTCAGCTCACTGATGCTGGCATGATGTTTTTTGATCTCTTCTTGACTCTTGCCTAAATCCTATAGTTGAAAGGACAAAGATGCAAAACGATAAATGCTCAGGGAAAAAAACACACCAAGGGATGCCCATCACAGACTATGGGCACTGGTAGAAAACACACCACATCCAGGATAGATATTACTAATCCATAAATTGCATTCAAGTTGTAAATATACAACATGGTATATTTGCTTGCTTTTTTTTTAAATGAGGTGCTTTTCTTGGAAGCAGTAAAGCATCATAACCCCATAGCTCTTAGCAGCTAGATGACTTACAAAGGTTCTCTCCTTAATTTTACACCTCTTCTTTCCGTTATGACGCAGCGCTAGATCTCCGGCTCCTCATCCCAAGAAGGTAGTCCCACAACACAATTAGCCTCAGCTTAATATCAACTGATTTAGGCTCAGCTCAGGCAGGATGGAGATAGCAATAGATAAGGAGAAACTGTTAAATGCAGGACACAGTGAAAGATTCAACTCCCACCACTGGCTGCTTTGGCGAGTTGCAAGTAAGGTGTCCTTCTATATCTGCTTGGATGTAGTTTTGCTTCCCTACGACTAGGTGGCTGTTGGCTTTTGGTAAACAAGAATAGCCCTTTCTTCACAAAAATTTATTTCTGAAATTCCTTGCTCAAGCCTCCAGAGCAGACTGTTACCGTCTCTGAATAACTACTCAGGGGTATGTGACACAATGGCTTTTTTCGTTGCCAATACTATTCACACAAACTAAAAGTCTTACGCTTTCCAGGTTCTAACAGCTTCACTTCATCTCTTAGTACAATTCAAAATAGGGATCTTCTGCCAGTACCCTTCAGCGCCCTGGGAGTGATTTATCAAGAGTTTGTCAAATACCTTATATATCTCCTTGACAATTTAAAATAACTCAACTGTTCCAGCAGATTTGAATACTGGACAACTAAGGGTAAGCTCTTCAAGAGGATATTCCAGAGAGAAATGATCAAAACTAAGGTTAATAAAGCTAGAAACAGTATGAGAAATAATATTCAGGTTCATGTAACAGGAAGCATATAACAACTTTCAAAAGGGAGACTTGGCCTGAAATAATCTGGGACCTACAACTTGAAGACAAAAACTCAAGTATTTTTTGTCCAAGATACTGCTCTGAAAAAACTCAAAAGATCTATGCTTGAGATCAAAACATGTGGGAGCTCCTCACTTGATGACTGCTAAAATTTCTGTGTTTATTATATATCAAGGCAGCTCTGTATCCAAGAAAAGCATAATACTAAATATATCTCCAAATATGCTGTGTGAATTTTTGGACTAGCCTTTCTTTTTTTTGGCTCCATGACAAACAGCCTCATTTTGAAAAAAAAAGTTGGAACCCCTTTAAAAAAAATAATTTGTTTAAGAAGTTTTTCCTGGTGCAATATAGGCTTCAACTAAAGAAAATTCTTCAAAAGCAATGTCCAAGGGAAAACAGCATAGGAAAAAGAATCAGTGAGGCCCATGACACAGTTTTGGTTCTGGAGATATTCATTCAGAAAATTCATTTAGGGGCCGGCCTGGTGGCGTAGCGGTTAAGTGCGCACATTCGGCTTCTCGGCAGCCCGGGGTTTGCCGGTTCGGATCCTGGGTGCAGACATGGCACCGCTTGGCAAAAGCCATGCTGTGGTAGGCATCCCACATATAAAGTAGAGGAAGATGGGCACGGATGTTAGGTCAGGGCCAGTCTTCCTCAGCAAAAAGAGGAGGATTGGCAGCAGATAGCTCAGGGCTAACCTTCCTCAAAAAAAAAGGAAAATTCATTTAATAGTCTATTCTTTTTGTTTTTGCAAGACTGAACCACGTATATTTGCTTTGAGATCAGTCAAAGAGAAAACTAACCCCAAGAGGGCAATCCTGTAGCTCCCTCATAGGGTACCTCTTGCTTGCTAGGCTGAAATGTGAGGATAGCTCACGAGTATGTGTTTCACTATGGGGAAATAACAGTTTGCACTTTTGTTCTAGCTGAAAACAAGAAAAGCGTGTTTACTAGCTAAAGAAAAGCATGAACAAGCTTAGTCAAAGACTCAGTAGTAGGCTGAGTAACTGACCCCACCAGGCGTGTAAGCCTTGTGACCCAGCTTCCGACAAAATTAAATCTGCTTGGGCTGAGAACAACTTAACACAGTTGGGAGAGTTAAAAGTATGAACGGAGCAAGACAAAAATGAGCAAGAGATGCTATGGTAAAACCATAACTCTCAGGGTTAGCCTCTTACTATGAGAGGCCAGTGATTTGTTACTCTTCTTGCCTAGCTTTTGATTGGCTTGGAACCTGAGAAAATAAATGTTTCAATAAAATCAGTAGCTTCTGAGGGAGCTTTCTCCATCCTTCTTAGCTGGCTCTGCTGGAAACCTGTGGGGGCACAGAGTAAAATTAAGATCTCAAAGGGACCTATTCTAAATAGAATTTGTCATAGACACTTGCTACAGGTTCTCCTTGGGAGCTAGAGGAGGAGGCGGCAGATCTAAAAATGAACTCGATCTTATTTGTGCCAGAACAAAGCATTAGTGGGGGTGGGGTAGGAGTAGAGGGAGGAAGGAATGCTTAAAAAAAAAAAAACCTGCTAGAGTGACAGATAATTTGAGAGAACTTCCTTAGGGGAAAAATAAAACACCTTTTTACAGTAACTAGAGAATGATGGTTAGCCAAATTGCTTTGGCTGTTTTCACGTTAGACACTTTTTGATGCCTATCATCTTATAATTTTAGCAGCAACCAAATCAAACACTTCATTAAATATAAAATATTCTCAAAAGGTAGTTAGTAGTTTTAATTTTCAAATACACGCTTATTTAGAAATCCCCTCTCATGGCTGTCAATGAAATGCTGGGAAAAAAACACATCACACACAGGGACTCTGTGAGTCTCAGAAGCCATAACACACCTCATGGAACAATGACAAATATATGATTGGTACTGCAGGTTCCAGATAAGAGGGAGCACTAAAGATGGACTGGCCAAGACATAGGAACGTTTGGAATTGGGAGATGCTACACTGCTGAGGACAAGGAGATCAACTGACATTTGTTATTCTTCCTAATCTCAGAAGCAGAAACTTTCAGGTCTAGTTTCAGTTCTGGCTAAGGCAAAGAGATCTAGTTGCCAAGTGTGAAATATCCTAGGGTCTAGCCTTGGAAAACCTCATGTTACATGAGGAAAATGTATATAAAGCATTGGTATCATGTCCACCACAGAGTATATGATTAATGAAGGCTGGCTATAATTTTTACTACTTTTATTAAACTACCTTATACACAGCAGGCACTCAAAATATGCGTATTGACAAAGAATAAGATGAGGTTAAGTAATTGTTAGAGGCCATTTTATTAAACCAGAGATCTATCTTAAAAAGGCTTCTTCAAACTTCCAGTTTAATAATGTTTACCACATTTAATATATGTTCATGTTTCAGGTCTCAGCTAAAATGTTACCTCTTCAGAGAGAACTTCTCTGTCTATCTTATTCAGAGTGGATCCCTTTTGTTAGCAAAGCATACTGTTTATTTCCTTCACAGCTTTTATAACAACTTGTAATCACTTTATTGCTATTTGTTTACTTATTTATTGTGTCTCTCCTCCCCACTTCCCCCACTGTAAGCTTCCTGAAGGTAAGAACCATGTTTATCATCTCCCTATATATTTATATTTCCTTTATATTTAAGTTAGATTCCTGATGTCAGAGTTTACACCCATTTCCTGTGCTCTGTCTTGGGTGGAAGGACAAAATAATTAGGTCATCAGCTTCTACATAAGAGTTCTTCTGATGTGTTAACTAACATGGACCCATGTTTTCCACACAGAATAATTTCAGTTTCCTTTATTTTTCTTCATAAAGTTCCTCCAATCTTCTAATTAGATTTATCTTTACCTCTCCAATGTGGAGTCCAAAACTAGATAAAGTATAGTAATATAGGTCCAGTAAAAATCTGAACAATATTGAATATAATGGGAAAATGACCTTACAATTCCTATAGCAGACAGTATGTAGCTATTTCTAAATGGGAAAAAAAGTTTGGGTTAATAGAGTTAGAAAGACCCTAACTCAAATCCTAGCTTTAACAATTTATCAGCTCTGTGACCATAGGGAAATTACTTAATTTCTCTAAGCCTCAACTATCTCATCTTTAAAGTAATAATCCCACATTCACAGGCCTGTTCTTAACGATTAAACTATCTCATATCACACTAACTACTCATTAAATGCTAGGCTCCCTTCTTTCCTACCTGTACTTACCTTTTTTTCCCCTGCCTGTTGTTCTGTCATTTTCTGGTATCCTCAAAATTTAAAGTCCATTTTGAATTGTGATCATTTCTCCTACACTCTCTTGGTTCAGAAGATGAAAAAATTGTACAAATTTGATGTTTGGGACATATAGCAGTTTATACTCTTGGAAAATTCAAGGAACTTTTAACAGTGATGTAGAACATTCTAGAAGCGGGTAAAACAATGGAACCACGAGAGGCAGAGGCGTCCCAATCATATATTTTTTAGATAAGTATGAGAGATGGAAACTAAAAAGCGTCAGGAGAGATGGTTGCATATCTTCATGTTTACCAACGTGCAAAAGCATTTTAAACCTAAATTCTCCCATGCAATGGCATGCAAAACCAAACGCAGCATAGAAAGAAGAAAGGAGGATCAGCAAAGAATGCAGAAGGTTACAGGCAACCAACTGAAATAAGCTTCAAGTTCATACAAACCTCCAACATTAAATTGCTATGTCTGATATAAATGTTTTCACCATCTAGTCTCTCTCTCTTTTTCTGTGAAAATGAAAGAGGGAAAAACAGAAAAGCATAAAAAATTAAAGTGTTGTTCTTGCGGGAAAAACTGCAAATTGGCAAACCAAAAAAAATAGAAAATTAAACGTCCACAATGCAGCATATGCCAACATAAAACGGTCACAGAACCACAAGGACACACAGAGAATACGATTACCACTAGAAAACGGATGACGTTGTTCGTGAACAACGGAAGAATGTGATGATGTTATTTAAACAGACAGTGCTCCCGGCTCCATTGGCTTCTTTCAGAACAAGCTGTTTTATGCTCATTTTTGGGATTGAGCTGTTTGAGGGTTATCTTAAAATGCATGCCTTTAAGAAGCTCTGAAACTCCATGTTCCATGGAGTAATGTTTTAAAACATTATTTAGCTTTTTGGACATATTTCATACATAGTAATACTGCAGTATATATATCTCTAATACCTTTCAGAAGAAAGATCTAAGGGTTTTATACATGATCAGTCAGTAATCTATTCAGTAAGAACTGATTCATGGCACTCTATAGTTGGGAAGAATGATGCAGAGCAGCCAAATACATATAAAACATTGTCAAAGATTCCAAGAATATGGTGCCATTGTCAAATATTGTTTATAAAGTTTAAACAAAAAGGATAGATTTGGCCTTCACTAATTATTTCATGGCGTTTAAAAAGATATTTTCCTAATGGAAAGTTTAATGACATTTTTCAATATATAGCATAGGATTATAATTTCTTTGGTATACATGTATGTGTGTATATGCATATACACATGCATATATACATATATATATATCTGCTACTTGAAAGTAGTCTTTGATTAAGAGAAACCAATGGGCAGAATGGATCACTGTCTCTTTAATGCACTGTAAAGGTCAGCATGGGTGATGGTGATGTAATTTTGTGAAAGGGAAAAATGGCTAACCTTCCTCATTCTTATCAGATCTTCAGTTTTTTCTGCAAGCTTCTGTTTTGCCATTATTTAAAAAAGAAAGAAAAATGATAAAATATTGGCTCATTGAAGTTTGTTGGAACCTTCATTTTATAATTTTTTTTAAGGAGAGGGGAGTGGGGGAGGAGAAAAAATTGAGGAGGGGAGGGGAAAAAGAACAAGTGGTCTGTTGGCACAAACCTGTGTTTGGTCACCATTTGAGGTGGGTACTGTGACCTCGATGTGGGTTTTTTCCACCTACATTTAAGAAATAAAGTGGTAAAAACATTTTAGGTTAGTAGGTTTCTATGAATAGCTTTGTTTCCAGATAAGCCGCATCTTTAAGCTGGTTGTGAAATAAGCCGTATGTAATCATCACAATGCAGTCTTATGCGGCTATCACAGGGAAGGGGAGTACTTTCAACAGCAATCTGTTAGTTCACCATCACATTTTCAAGGCTGAAGAGGTAATATGGACAGCCGAAGGATCAAAAAAAGAAAATTAATTATTCTATTGATGGAAAAAAACATTTTCATACTTATTTATTAAAAAGTACCTACTAAAAATAATTATTTAGGCTTAAGTAAGCCATATGTTTTTGTTTTGCTTTTTTTAAATGATCTATAAGTACTTTAAATAACATTTAAAAACAAATTTACAAGTGAAGATATCAATGTTTGACATACATGATAGTTAGAAACAAAAAGAAAGGCTTTACAGTTAAAGCACACACATAATAAACCACATATGACACCAAGCAGATAAATACAAAAAATTTGTTAGTTGATCAAGATATTTAAGGAGGCAGTTTCACTCTTGAGTTTATTAGACAACAAAACATCAAAATAAACTCAATCCAAGTTGTTACTGACACATGCAATTACTTCCAAGGTTGATTTATAAATAAGCACACACAGGGTTCAGGGGCAACATTCAACACGCCGTAACCTTCTGTCTAGGGAGTTGGAGCTCATGTGTTTGGTAAACAGACTAGATTCATCCTTAATAGTAGGAAGAGAATAACTAAGCTCTCCTGGCTAGCTTTGAAATACCTGTAGTAATAGTCATTTTATGTATTCAAAATGGAGTAAGTATAAATAAAAAAATCCCAGGCAGACTATTAAAAGGAAGCATAACAGAATGAGTAATGCCTCAAGCAATGGATGTTTCAAAAGCAGCAAAGTTTTTATTAAGGGTCAAATCAATCACTTTGTATCATAAATGTCTTTCCAGAACCTCCTCAATCTGTGGTTTTGACATATTCTTTTCCATCACAGTTGGCAGCATTACCTCGGAGTACAATGTCACTGTGCTCTCTAGAGCTGAATGTAAAGAACCAAACCAAAGATAACATCAAACTTTGTGACACCGTCAAATCATAAGCACAACCAGCTACAGCACTATTAACCACCAGGGGCAATTAACAGTTTGGGTCATTTCTACTCTGAATCCCATATACTTGCTGTGTGGCCACTGGCAAGTTATTTCAGTTTAAGTTTTAAGGTTTTTATTGATAAAATGGAGATAATATCTTCACAGAGTTGTGAATGCTTAGCAAATGATAGATTTTAATTATTCTGTAAAGCTTAAATTACTCGTTTAAGTGAATAATGACTTTTTGCTTTGGGTTCTTAGCAATCCAACAGCAAGAAACTGAGAGCCTCTACTTCAGTCTGAGAGTGGAGGCCAGCAGCAACAGTCACGTTGTGTACGCTGCTACAGAGAACATTACATGAGATAAAGGTGTATCTGCGGGAGAGGCGCTATCTCCACACCTGAAAAACAGGTTGCTCGAATGACTCAAGACGCCATAAAACTATCTCTACTTGGGACCAAATTAGTGCTAGAAAATGAAACTTACACAGTTACGAGGCTGCTTTATCACTACTGTTGCTTTATATAACAAATATGGGTTCAGGTAAATTCCATAATTACTTTCTAACTGCTACAAATAAAATCAACTCAGCCACCCTTAATTCTGTCACTACCATTACAGTAATAAAAGGTTATTAGAGGTGGCTCTCAGTCTGACCTCAACACAAGTATCTCAAAACATACATTTATACAGAATTAATTGGCAAGAAGATCCCCTACTGGCACTTAAATGGGGAGCATATACCGGGAAGTGATCTCTCCACTCTGCCAAGGTCCCAAAAGCAAAGGAAACCTATCCTCGAACTTACTTGTGTTGGCCTTATGGGCAAAAGGACAAGTAAGTTAGCAGAAAACCAAAGGACTCGTAACCACTCAATAAGATGCCTTGCCAACTCCACTAATCCAGCACTTTCCAGTTAGTATAAAAAATGGAGGGATAGTCCTGTCAGGTGAGTTTTCCCTCAGGTAAAAACTGAGGTAGTCTAACACTAAAAAGACACTGTTGATACTGCACTTATTGGCCAAGGTCATACACATTTGGCTAGGTACAAAAAATGCAAACACCATTTACTCAATTTTTTCTTCTCTCTGGACTCAAGTTGGTCTCAAAGGACAGTAAAAACTGCATGTCACATTGAACCGTTTTTTTTTTTTTTAATACAGTCAAAACAGAGCCAGATTGGCCACTGCTCTAGATAAACTAGATATTGAACTGGCTCCAAAGAACAGGATTAATCCATCTGCCAAGGTGAGAGCACTTTATAAGGTCTTATTTGGTTTTACATTTCTTAACAGACATATAAAAATGTAATTTTTCTTATAAAAACTGCTTCTATTAATTCCTGTTGTTAACGGTGAGACTTGTATTTGCTTCAATAAATCTGAACTAATACCTCAACTCCATCACTGCTTAAATGTGTTTAAAAAGCCTATCAACACACAAAAGATCAGTCCAGTTACTCTTACCCCTGGGAAATCTGCTTATTAAATTGGTGATTTTTCTTTTCTTTTTGAGGAAGATTAGCCCTGAGCTAACATCTGCTGCCTATCCTCCTCTTTTTGCTGAGGAAGACTGGCCCTGAGCTAACATCCATGCCTGTCTTCCTCTACTTTATATGTGGGATGCCTGCCACAGCATGGTGTGCCAAGCGGTGCCATGTCCACACCCGGGATTCGAACTGATAAACCCCGGGCTCCAAAGCGGAACGTGTGAACTTAACCAATGCGCCACTGGGCTGGCCCCTAAACCGGTGATTTTCCAATAACATTCAGTGACTGTGGGTACAGTCAACTCAGAGCTGTAAGCAACTAAGCAGCATAACCTCTCCTACATAATAGATCTTCCCCTTTTTGTAACGCTATTTAAGATTTGAACAACCACGTAGATGTGCTTTATGTAACACTTGGATATTCTTTGAATATGTTGCACATATATTCATCTTAGGAAATCAAATTATATTTTAATCATACCAGCAGAGTTTATTGCTAAAAAGGAATGTGGAGATTCCTCCTGGATGAGTAAAAATTATTTTTAAAAGTAGGTGATCACAGAGCTGGTGTGCTGTATTAGCCTCATTTTTTCAGATACAAGTTGGGTAAAGGCGTGTGTCACCTGAAAACTTCTGGGATAGCCTACAGTCTTCATGACACAATTCTAGGACAATATTTTACAGGTTCATGGGAGATTCCTTCTTTCAGAGCGAGGAAGAAACAACTTGGTTAGGATTCTACAAGAACCAATGCTTTGAAAGCGCCCTGGTCAAAGAGTTAACGCCTCTCAATGAGAAAGTGAATTAGCTACATATCTGGACTCATGACACACCTTCTGCACTTCCGTGGGCTCCGGCTCAGCCTGCTCAGGTGGCACTTCTTCTCCTTTCACTTCAGCCTCCGCTGTTTCCTTCTGTGCTTTAGAAACCCCTGCTTTTTTGACAGGTGCACCTTCTGTGACCTGACTTTGAGCAATGGCTGGCGCAGAGGTGGGCCGGGGACTTCGGTCTGCTGAATCGACAGCTGCTGCTATGCGAGAAAGGGGAAAGGGAAGAATAAGTGAGGGCAAGGGTCACTGTACCACTTCAAAGTCACCAAGCGAACCAACTGTGAATCCAGGACACGTGCGAGTGTTCACAGTGTCCAGCGGGCTGTCACATAGAAGGCAAAAAATAAATCATTAGTGCTCTGCCAAGTAACTGATGGCAATAAGAAAGCTAAAATATCTTCAACAGAAAAGCTAAATGTGCTGACGATCACATCCCATAAGGGAGGAGGGGCATCAAAATAAGAAAAGAAATTGAAAATTCATTTTATTTAAGTTAGCAAGATTGTTTAACCTTGTAATCTGTTAGTTTCAAGAACCTGCAATGTAGTCTACAGAGAAAAAAGGAAGGGTCAATTAAATCTCATTTTTCCCATGAAGCCTTTTTGAAATAAAGATCCATTCATTTATAGGTGATTTCAGGAACCTAAAACTATATTTTAAAAAAAAGAATTAAGTTTGATTTTTTTCTGTGAAGCCTCCTTGGAATGGTTACAAAATAACTTCATAAATGAATCTCCTGACAAGACACGTACGCTTTCTGATGCTTGTTTAAGGGCAAATCTTTGAACCAGACTCTTTCCTTTCCAATAAGTCATTTGATTAAAATACTATGAATTCAAAACCTTTGGTCTTTAGTTCTTAAAAAAACCAACAACCACCTTTTGAGTTCTGTCCTACCCTCTCCCAGAGTCTTATCAATTTGTATTCTAGCTCCTATTCTCTAATATATTTAGGGCAGTGGTTCTCAAGCAGGGGTGATTTTGCCGCCCACAGAACATATGGCAATTTCTGGAGACATTTTTTGGTTGTCATAACCGGGAAGAGAAGTGGGATGGGGTACTGGCATCTAGTGTGTACAGGCCAAGGTTGCTGAGGTTAGAAACTTCGATTTAGGGAAAAAGCTATATATGGACTGTTTTAGAGAGAACACACAATATAGGCTAATGGCAAAAGTGTGATGTCGTCACGGAGTTAAGAGCTGTTTTGGTTTGGACTATTGGGCACCTAAGTTTCAGATGGCTTACTTCAAAACAATCACTCATACTCTTTTTGTGATTTTTATCTTCATTCTTTCAGGGACTAAATGAAAACATCTATACATTTTGTAGTAAAACCTCACTTATCTGGTATGTATAGGAATGCAATGTGTTTCCACATGATTTAATATTTCTAATAACAGATCATTACCCTTTCATGTACTGAGACTTTAATTTTAATTATTTTGCATAGAATTCTTTACTTTTTTTTTTTGAGGAAGAGTAGCCCTGAGCTAACATCTGCCACCAATCCTCCTCTTTTTGCTGAGGAAGATTAGCACTGAGCTACCATCCATGCCCATCTTCCTCTACTCTATATGTGGGTCGTCTGCCTCAGCATGGTTTGGTAAGTGGCACGTAGGTCCACACCTGGGATCCGAACCGGTGAGCCCTGGGCCACCAAAGCGTAACACACAAACTTAACTACTATGCCACCAGGCCGGCCCCTCTCCACAATTTTTATGACACACTTTCCTGCCTTCTTAAACTGAGTACACTGAATTTAATTTATCTGAATAAATTTAGATTAAAAAGCAGTAAGGATTAGGTAAAACAAAGGAAATCCATGAATGAGAATCCATGAATGAGATAAAAAATTGAAATTCACAACTACTTCATACACACCACCACCAAGAAAGAAACGCTTGTTACTCTGTAACGATCTTCAGTGAAAGAAATCATTCCTCAGAGGATACATAAGAAAAACATCAGAAACACAAGAATCTACTTTATCTTTCAATGACAACTCTGTGGCCTCTTGCAAGTGCCTGCTACTCATGAGTGCTCTAGGCCAGTCAATGCAAGAACGACAGACGGCAGACCAAATCTAACACAGGAATGTGACAAAATATTTTGTTCACAGTTGTGTAAAAGTATCATTATACATGTCTATTCACACCTCCTCTCAAAGAATTAATTCAACTCTGCCTGGCATCACAGAAACATAGCCCATGCTTTCACCATGTGTTATTTTGCCACTTGCATTTGGTCTTAATCCAATACTACTAATATTGCAAGCCAACGATTTATGTCTTCAGCATTCCTGCCCTGGCAATCTGTAGTGCATGTGGAAAAGTAGGTATGAGTGTGGAAACCGGCGGATAGAAACAGGCAAAAAAAATTTCATCATCTGTAAAACATGGAAATATTAACTCTAAAGGATAGTTGGGGAAGGCACACTCAACAGATATAAAAATACTTTACAAACCCTAAATATTAATAACTTTTAATGTCATACCTAAGTCCTTGTATTTCTTATGTTATGGGTTAATATTATTTCAAGAGTATGTTGGGCAAAATTAATTATGCACACATTGACACGTAATTCAAGTGAAAGATGTCACCTGGGAGCTGTGGAGAGAGGCAAATGTCTTTCCTTTTCTCAATAAGAAGACAACAAACTATGGATCACAACAGAGAATCATGGTAGTGACCGTGGTGGTTGTTTTTTTAAACAGCTTTATTGAGATATAATTCACCTACTACACAATTCAACGACTTAGAGTGTATAATTCAATGCTTTTGAGTATATTCGCAGTGCTGGGGGTAGTGATTACTTTTTAAGATGTTTTGGCTCTTCAGTTTTATAAATCCATTTGTTAGCTGTTACAAGATTTGGGTACATATACAGAGAATACTCAACTTGAAAAATTCGATTATTTCCCATTTCTGAAGGTCTAGACAAAGAAAAGTGCTGGTTGTGATACTCTTATGGACCCATTAACTCCAGGATTATACTGCTCTTGTCTGAAAACAACAGAATCTTAGTTATATAGTAGAGCAGTAAAGAGTAAAACTCAAAACCATCATATTGAGTAAAAGGAGACAAATTCTAGTTCAAGGTCTTTTACTTAGTAGCACAATTTCTGCTAGTGTGGTACAGGTACAATAGGTATGTGATAGATCAGTGGTTCCATTATCAGAGGGCCCACATGAATCATCTGTGGATACTGAAAAACAAACCAACCAACCCAGCTGACGCTCGGGTCCACCACAGACAGACGAGGTCTCTAAGAGGGAGTCTTGGGCATCCGTTTTGTTTTAAAGCTCCAGAGATGATATGGAAGCATTCCCCTGGCAAAAACCACTGCAACTGCTACTCACCGAATAGAGGAACTGCCTGGTTGTGTGAATCTAGCAAGTTACATCATTTTTTTGGCGCCCCAGTTTCCTCACTAGTAAAACAAGAATTTCTAAATGCTTCTTGGTCACTAGGTTGTTGGTACTAAATAGGAATATACGGAAATGGTTTGAAAAGCAAAAAGTGCAACAAAAATAAAAGCTGAAAAATCCTTCTCATTATTATTAGCTATCCTTGTGACTTGCCACTTTATTGTATAAACTGGGATCTGAACCAGTTTTAGTTCCTCAGCTGGTAAAGCAGATGCTCTGAGCACCAGATATAACAGAAGAGAACGAGAATGTTCATTTGCATCATTAAAGTGAGGCCCCTTATAAAGCAATTCTTGCAAAAGTTTCCCTAATACACTATCTCTAGCTTACAGCCTTATATTAATTTTTAAAAGGGGGGGCTTAATAAGGAAAAGACTCTTTATTAAGAAGAATGGAGGGGCCGGCCTTGTGGCATAGGGGTTAAGTTCAGTGCGCTCCACTTCAGCAGCCCAGGTTCATGGGTTCGTGGGTTCATAGCCCAGGTGTGGACCTACACCACTCATCAGCCATGCTGTGGTGGCATCCCACATACAAAGTAGAGGAAGACTCCCACACATGTTAGCTCAGGGCTAATCTTCTTCAAGCAAAAAGAGAGCAAGATTGGCAACAGATCTTAGTTCAGGGTGAATCTTCCTCAGCAAAAAAAAAAAGAAGAAGAAGAAGAAGAAGAAGAATGGAGAAATACCTAGGAAAAGGAGAGAAAAAGTTTCCATAGACATGTTTACAATTCTTATACTGAGAATATAACAGAGAAAAAGAAGACATTTGAAAACAGAACTATAAAAAAATTTATCCTACAAAAAATTTATCCTACTCAGTTTGCATGCAATGCAGATACTTAAAAGATAATATATGTAAAATGTTTAGAACAGTGCCTGGAACATACTAACTACTCAATGAATATTGACTATTAATACTTTTATTCACCCTCTTCTGCAAAAAAAGAAGTCATCATGGAGAAGAGTAAAAACCACGGGTCTGAGAGAACAGTCCTAGATTCTCCTTCCACTTCTGTCGCTGACTAACAATGTGACCTTACGCAAGTCACTTAAATTCTAAGGTCATGTTGTAAGAAATAAATCAATTACCAACGGGTATCCATTTCAAGATATTAGAAAAAGAACAGTTCAATAAAAGCATAAAGAAAATAATAAAGATATTAGCTGGTTTAAATTTAAAAATATACAATAGGGAAAAACAACAAAACCAAAAGTTGGTTCTTTGAAAAGATTGATAAGATTAATAAACGTGTAGCAAGACTGCCCAAGAAAAAAAGCGGCACAACTTACCAATATAGGAACACAAATGGGGAAATTGCTATAGATCTTATAGATGTTAAAAAGATACCCAACTTTATGTCAATAAAGCTGAAAATTTACATGGAATGGATATTTCCTAGAAAAACACAATTACCAAAACTGAAACAAGAACTAGAACATGTTAATACTCCTTTATCCAACAAAGGCATTGAATCTGTAAGTAAAGAACCCTCCCACAAAGAGATCTCTAGGACCATATGGCTTTATTGGCGAATTCTTCCAAACATTAAGAGGAAATAATACCAATCTTATGCACTCTTCCAGAGGGCAGAGAAAGAGGAAATCCTTCTCAACTTATTTTATGAGGCCAGCATATACTTGATACCAAAACCCGACCACAGCATTACAAGAAAGGAAAATTACAGGCCTCTCTCTCCTATGGAAATAGTTGTAAAAATCCTATGATATAATAAGAAGGACATATTATGATCAAAGTGAGTTTATTCAAAAAATGCAGTTGGTTTAACAACTGAAAGTCAATCTACTTCTATACAATTAGGTGGCTGGAATAAAATACTTCCAGCTTTTTCCCAGGTCCTGTGACACTAATGGTGATGCCGCTAAAGCCCTTCTTCCTCTAGAGTTGTCTTAGATGCTTCAGCTCTGGAATCTCAAGCATTCCTACAGCATTTTGAAGAGAAATTTTGGAGATTTCCCCTCCTAGGAACATGGTCAATAGGCAGAGACATCAAGATTTTTAGAAGTCTTGAACTGGGAGGTTTCTACAGCTAGAGGAATAGAGACTGTCAAGATGTGATTTCTGTAAGTAATGTAAGTGTCTCTATAAATAAAGCTTTCTCATTTGTTCAAGGTACCAAAGCTCATTAACACTTGAATCTTTGGTTATTTTTGTTATTAGAAAGAAAGGATCTTGGGGCCAGCCCCGTGGCCGACTGGTTAAGTTCGTGCGCTCTGCTCTGATGGCCCAGGGTTCGGAGCCTGGGCGCAGACATGGCACCGCTCATCAGGCGATGTTGAGGCGGTGTCCCATGTGCCACAACTAAAAAAATATACAATTAAATACTGGGGGGATTTGGAGAGAAAAAGCAGAGGAAAAAAAAAAAGAAAGAAAGAAAGGCTCCATCAGGCATTGTACCTATATAATGATGAGATTCCATTTAGTGGAAAAAGCCACGGGATAGGGTATCAGACAGACCCAGGTTTTTGTCCTAGCTTTGCAACTTACTATCTGTGAGATCTTGAACAAGTCGCTTAAACTTTGCAATCTCGTTTCCTCACTGAAAAATGGGGATAAAAATAATAGCTGTCCGAGACTAAGGTAAACTGGAGGTCGGGTAACTCACTGGACGAGGAAGGAAACTCTTGATAGTGTTATATGAAGACAGCAGACATGAGGATTGAGCGGTCACACCTCAAACTTAACATGCCCAAAACAGAAGGCTTGATTTTCCATATCCCCAACTCGGCTCAATCAAGCCTAGGAATAAACTTTGTTTTCCTTTTCCTTACCATCTCCAACATTCAGTTTAGAGTAATTCTGTCAGCTCTACTTCCAAAATAGATCCCTGACCACTTTTCCTTGTCTTCATTGCCAATACTCAAGTCCAAGCTGTCGTGATCTCTTACTCAGATCCCACAACAGACTTTCCCAAGCTGGTGCTTCACTCCCCATTCAGTGGAGCAGTCACCCAGCAGCCAGGGTGATCTTTTAAAGATGGAAACCAGATTATATCACATCCTCTAATACCTTCCCCTGCAATTAAAATAAAATCTAAACTCTTTACTGTGGCCTACAAGGCCTTACACAACCTGGCCTCTGCCCGCTTCTCTGACTTCACTTATTTTTTACTCTTCTCCCCTTTATTCACTAGGACCTAGACTTGTGCTGTCCAGTATGGAAGCTATTAGCCACATGTGGCTATTTAAAGTAAAATTAAAATTTAGTTCCTCAGTTATGTAACCACATTTCAAGTTCGTAATGGCCACACGTGGCTACTGACTACCAAACTGGACATCACAAAATAGAAGATTTCCATCAGCACAGAAAGTTCTATGGGACGGCTTTGACTAGACACATGCCAAGCTCATTCCTACTTGTAGGTCTTTGCACTTGCTATTCCCTCTTTGAAAATGCTCTTCCTCCAGATTTTGGGATGGCTGGGACTTTCTCATAATTCAGATCTCAGTTCAAATAAAGCTCCTCAAAGGAACCTTCTAAATTTAGGCTGGACCACTCAATCTGAAAGAGCTCCCCAATCTCCGCCATCCCCAGACACTCTCTATCCCGTTACTCTGTTGTATGTTCTTCACAGCACTTACCACTATCTGAAATTGTTTTCTTTTGTTTTCTGTTTCCACGCATAGACTGTAAGCCCTGTGATGGCAGGGACCATGGTGGTATGTTCAGGGCTGTATCTCCAGTGACTAGAACAACACCCGACACAAAGCAAGTGTCAAATAAATTGCTGAACCAAATAATAAGTGAGTAAGTCTCTGAAAGAACATGAGTTTTGGAGTTAAACCAACCTGTACTCCAATCCACTTACCAGTTATCATATCTTAGGAAAAGTTATTTAGTCTCTGAGCCTAATTCCTAGTGTTGTCATGAAGACTAAATAAAACAAAAGTCTGCAATCTGCCTTGTACTGTTATTACGGAAACAGCCCCGTCTAACCCAGGACAGTAGAGACACACCAGAAAGAAAGCAGCACGACTCGCAGTATGGAAGCACAAAAGCCCCACTGCTTCAATAATCCCTTTTCCAAGTGTGGTGGATCTATTTCTGACTCTTCCACTGAGCTAGGTATTTCTGACATACGCCCTTGTGACGCAACTAAACAAAATATGGCAGCATGGTTCTGGATGATACAAAACAAAGTAATAAGGCTGTAGTCAGAATATTTAACAGTATCTTAATGATAGCTAATACTTTGGGGTCACTTATTAAGTACTAACTATTGTGCTAAACATCATCAGCCTTGATCTAGTTACTGCTCTCTCTGAACCTCAGTTCTTCTTTCCTTAAGATGATTCCACTAAATTAGACAATTAGGAAGACCCATTTCATTTTAACACTGAGATTGTTTCATTTGGCTCTCTTATAGAAAAGCATACTTCCTTTATCTCTTTCTAAAGAGTTAGGATCACAAGAAATCAATATTCAATACAAACCTCCATCAAGGCTCCGGGATGCCCGTTTGCTTGCTGTACGCTCAAAGTGTGGGGCAGGCCTGTCAATCAGAGCACTAGCTTGCCTGGTTTGAGCCTGAGTTCGGCCACTGTATCGAAATTTGGATCCCAGTGCAAGAAATTTGCTTTTAGGAATGGTGTCTGTAGATGTCAGCCTAGGAGAAAAAAATATATAATAATCAGATATTATATATATTATCTCACTCTAACGAGACCATGAGATTAAAAACAAAGAACTAAAAAATGTTTCACAATTCTTATAGTTTCCTTATTGTTACTAAAGCAGATTTCCAGTCAAGTGATCATTATTTTAATTTATGTCATTTCTCAAAGCAACATGTATAATTTACATGTGACCTATATTAATATCTTACATCTCTATAGATAGGGCCTTATGGTTTTCAAAATGCTTTTATAGCACTGTAATATTTTCACTACATCCCTGTGATATTTCCACCATTTTATAGATACAGGACACTGAACCTCAAAAAAGAAGTTACTTGCTTAAGATCACATAACTGTTAAGAGGCTGGGCAGTAACAGAGTCCAAGCCCAGAGTTCTTTTCCTCTCTACTAAAATAATAATTTTGTCAAATGCACTCCAACTCAATTAAGGCCTGGGAACCTATTTAATAGGTTATTTGGTGTATTTTCAACTCAGTTAGGGACCCCATCTTTTTTCTATGCAGTACCCTGTACTCCCTTTTGTCACAGCATTGACTACACTGAATTGAAACTATTTATGCGCTGGTCTCTACTACAAGACTCTCTAAGGGTAAACGATAAAGACTATGACTTATTCATCTTTGTGTTTCTGCTTCTGGCACAGCGCCTGGCATGAATTTGGCACTCAATAAACGTTTGCTGAATAAATACATAAATTGCTACATCAAACGCTACCAAAAAGAGAGCATTTTTCCCTCTGGGATGGTTTATTTTAATTCAGCAAATATTTACTTTCTTTTATGTAATGAAGTATTACATGTTAATATATCCTCTTATTTTGATGCAATGGATTTAAATATGCTATCCTACAAGGAAATACATTGGCTGTAGGTGAAATCTATACCATAGAGATTAAATACTCAAAAAAACTCTTTTTCACTCTTCCTTACCCATTTTTAAAACCTGATTTTCTTGGTTTAATTTTAAGGAAGAGGATGATGAAAGCATAAAAAATTATCTTAATGCCAATAATTAAGATTCTTTAATTGAGTATAAAGTGTACCCTCATGTTTTATTTTGAAATAAGAATTGAAATGTTATCTTCCCTGACATGTCTTCCTGTTCACTGTGCTATAGTGCTAAGTATGACACGAAAATACGAATAGAAGGAAAAGATACTATGGTTCTCTCTCTTGAGAGCCACTCATAACGAGTCAAGTTTATTTATGAATGACATGACATGAGGTCTGGGATTTGCTTCAAAATAAACTAGGAAGTAGTGGGAAGGAGTGGGTGGGGATACAGATGAAACAAGATTGGCCTTGGGGTGATAATTATTGAAGCTGGGTGATAGGTACAAGGGGGATTCATCATACTAGTCTTTACTGTTGCTATGTATGCAATTTTCTATAATAAATACATTGTCTTTTTTTTTGAGGAAGATTAGCCCTGAACTAACATCTGCTGCCAATCCTCCTCTTTTTGCTGAGGAAGACTGGCCCTGAGCTAACATCCGTGCCCATCTTCCCCTACTTTATATGTGGGACGCCTGCCACAGCCTGGCTTGCTAAGTGGTGCCATGTCCGCACCCGAGATCAGAACCGGCGAATCCCGGGCCGTGGAAGCTGAACATGTGACCTTAACCACTGTGCCACCCATAAAGACATTTTCTTAAAAAGGCAAGTCAACAATAACTAGCTGGCTCTCCTTTTAATACGAGTAATCACTTATCTAAGGTCTGCCTTCTCTGTGAGACTGTACGTTCCCTCAGGACAGGGATTAGAACTATCTTGGGGTAGAGTCCCAAAGCCTAGTACAGTGCCTACACAAAGAGTGAGAACACAGAAAATGCTTGGTAAGTGAATACAAGGGGTTAATAAGGTGGCCTTCTGAAAGGCAGAGGAAATGAAACTTTCTTTTGTTTTCTGATCATCTGATACAACTGGGCATCAAAAATGGTCCTCTGTGCTCCCCTTCTGGGGTTGATCAGAGCCACGATGACAACCAGCTTCATATCTTTAACTTCCAGCATAAAAGCCCCAGCGAAAGTTGCTAAGCACTGCTTAGCGAAATTCCACGTGGAGGTAAGTCAGGGATCCCCCTCCTTGTAGGACTGATTTTAGCTCCAGGTAGGGCAATCACAGAGCCCCTAGGAAACACAGGTTCCTATTCCTCCTGCCTCTCTTCCTTCTACCGTACACAGAAAGGTGCTCTGGGAATGTTGAGGCACGTTTTTCAACCCAAAAGAGGAGAACCAGATTCACTGTGTCTTGCTTAAGATGATCTCACCTGAGCTAAATAAAAGACTGTCAGCCATACAAAGAAGAGAACTTCAATAACAGCCTTAAAATAGAAACATGCATAACTAATTTGTCCTTGAAAAATACTTAAGTGAGAACAATACCTGAAAAATGTGTGATGCTCTACACAGACTTTCCATAGTTTCTTAGCTGCTCGGTAACTGGGAAGTTTGAATCCGATGGTACTTTCATACTGTTCTTGCTATAAAAACACAAATAAACATGGGACGTGAAGTATTATTCAACTACAGTGATACAGTACCACCGAAATATGGTGCTATAGAAGGAGCCATTGTGAATAAAAAGAATGTTACTAGTTTAAGCACATAAAATATCATTTGAAATTTCTTCCCACTTATCAAAAGAAATTTACTCACTGAAGATGGCTTTTTCCACAACAAGGAAGCCAGGGAATGCATCTTATATTATTTATGTGTCTTATTTTATTCAGAAACACACACACACACTGTACATTTTTCTGAGCCACAATTAAGTCACCTTTTGATTGTCCAGACACTTCTCTTCCTTAGTCACTCTCTGCATTTGCGACACTAGACTACTCAGTGATCAGGGAATGGGATAGCAGACGATTCTTCCCACCAATCAATATTATTATGCAATCATTTTTAGTATTAGGAACTAAAGGTTTGGGCTCAAACCAGATTCTTGAATTATTAAATGTATTTTCATTTTTTTCTTTGATTGATCACTAACTTATCTATATACCTCTTTGACTGAAGCAAACTACATCCTGCCAGGGCTGCTGGGAACACCGTGCTGCCAGTCTCTTGCCTCTCTGTTTCTGTCTTACGTACATTTTATAAGACGGAAAGGAAACTGACATTTATTTCTAGTGCCTATTATTGCCAATAATACTATGATTGACAGTTATCATCTATATTTTTTACAGATGAAGAAACTGAGGTCAGAGAAGTTAAGTGCTCAGTCTCACAGCTATTAAGTGGCAGAACCAGAATTTCAGTTTCCACTACATCATGCTACTTCTAAATCATCTGCCGTAGTCAGAAAACTACACACCTCAAAATCCTGTTATTCCTGACTGCTTTTTTAAATAGGAATTCTGCATTTTTAGTATATATTATATAGCTGACATTTAAAGAAACCAAGGACTTCCCATTATCATATTTATTAATATTTGCATATATATATATCTTTTTGGCCTTCCTACATTAAAACGTAAGATTGTTGAGTGATGGCCTCTTTTCTTCACTGTTATACTCCTAGCCCCTAGAATGGTGCCCTGCACAGAGAAAGCCCTCAATAAACATTTGTTGGCTGAATGACTCTTGGATTTGAAACTCTGAGGGAAGACCGATTGCTCTGAGCTCGGCACAGGTAAATAAATAAATGCTTCATTGATAATCCTTATCCAAGATTTTTAAGGCTGCACATCCAGTATTTGCATGCTCAGATAACAAGCCATTTTTCACCAGCAGATGGTGATATATACACAAAAAAGCCACTTCCCTTTAGCGTGGTGCTTTCTTATTCAGAGCTTTCACAGCTGTCATCTCATTTAATCTTCAAATCAGTGATGACAGAGGAGGTGTTACCTCACTCGAATGATAAGGAAGCTGAGCTTAGATTTGTCCAGGCTCTTCTGCTTAGTAGATGGCAGAGTAGGTGCTAGAATACTTTTTTTTTAAAATTTAATTCCTATTTAATTTTACACTGTGCCATAACAGCTCTTGAATATACCAGTTAAATTTGGCTAGCATTAGTACATCCTGAAACTTGACCACCAACTAATCACTGAGTTATCTGGTACAAAGTTGAACATCCAACCTTATTAAAAATCTAGAAGTTGACCTTAGGACACATTCTCAGTAACTACTAGAAGTTACACATACAAATAAATTTTAATTATATTAGGTAAAAAATTGGTGGTGCAAAACATGAGTAATCCAACCCCACAATTTAAAAATCTTGTGCTATTTAATTTAAAAATATTTTTCCATCAAGATTTTACCTGAAGTCAATAAGAACAAGTTTATCAATCCAATTTTCACTTTTGGTCATTATATTTTTACTTACCTAAAAAAAACTGTCCAGAAGACCAGTAGTAAGGAATAGAAGAAGCAATCACAAGACTGATTCATTTAGAAAACAGAACTATCAGCTCCTGAATAATTAGCTACAGAGAGACCTCTTAGATGATTAACAAGGAAACAGAAAGGAAGAGATGTTTTAGATATGGTCTGTATTTGATCCAAGGGGAAAGAAACTCAATCCTGTACCTCTCCAGGCCGAATCTTGATGAAAAAGCTGCTACGTTTGTAAGAAATCTTCAGCACTTTGGGCCAAGGAAAGCGGTTAATTCTCAGCTTATCTTTGTAAACCAGAAGGCCACTAGAGCAGACGCCCAGGATGATATCCACCCCCTCCAAGTCCTGAAAAAGGAAAGTGTTAGCATTTCAGTCTTGAACAAAGTACTCACCACACTGTCAACTATTATTACATAATCTGAAGATATCAACAGCCAAAAAGCACTTACAGAACACACAATGAAAAATAAAGCTTACCCTAACAATTATAACCCACGGGACTATTCAGTCTACGTAAAAATGTTCTTACTACACAACATTTAAAAAAAATCAATGCTATTACCTATCACGAATGTCTTAAAAACGTCCAAATCAGACTCAGTAATTCTATTTCTGTAATCTATTCCAAGGAAACAATTCAAATCTCAGAAAAAGCTTTATACATGAAAATGTTCCGAGTGCTATAAGAGTGAAAAACTGGATATAACCTAAGTATCTAAGCATTAGCATTAAATCTTTGCCCATTCATATGGTGAAATACAATGTGACCATTAAAATAGTTATAAAGAATTTGGGAGATAAATGGGAAAATAATTGTGTTGTAATATTAAATAAAATAAAGCAGGATAGGGGCTGGCCCCGTGGCCGAGTGGTTAAGTTCGCGCGCTCCGCTGCAGGCGGCCCAGTGTTTCGTTAGTTCAAATCCTGGGCGCGGACATGGCACTGCTCATCAGACCACGCTGAGGCAGCGTCCCACATGCCACAACTAGAAGAACCCACAACGAAGAATACACAACTATGTACCGGGGGGTCTTTGGGGAGAAAAAGGAAAAAATAAAATCTTTAAAAAAAATAAAAAATAAAAAAAAAATAAAGCAGGATAAAATTGCATATACAACTTAATCCCAGCAATATAAAAAATACATAAAAGATTAGTATACCAAAATGTTAATAATGGCATTCTTTAGGTGGCATAATTATGAGCAATTTTGTTTTGGTGAGGAAGATTGTTGCCAAGTTAACATCTGTTGCCAACTTCCTCTTTTTGCTTGAGGAAGATTGTTGCTGAGCTAACATCTGTGCCAATCTTCCTCTATTTTGTATGTGGGACGCTGCCACATCATGGCATGACGAGTGGTATGTAGGTCCGTGCCCAGGATCTGAACCCACAAACACCAGGGCACCAAAGCAGAGTGCACAAACTTAACCACTACACCACCAGGCCAGCCCCAAGTAATTTTTCATTTTAGTTTTCTACATTTTCAAATTATAATAAACATGTATTATCTTTTTAAAAAAAATTTAAATATCACAAAACTAATATATATGTAAAAAATTCCAACAATACAGCAAGGATATAAAAAAAGAGTAAAATTCTTTCTCCTCCCCCCACACCTCTTAACAGTAACCAGTAATAATTTGATAATTTCTAGATTATCCTATTTTCTAGGCACATACAAATATGTGTGGATAATATCCATATATATATATATATATATATATCACCTTTATAATCAGGAAAACAACTAGAAAAAAACTGCAATTCAGTCCTTGTGGGTGGAAACTGCATCTTAATCATTTCTATATCACCCCAAATACCATCTATTATCAACAACATGCTCTGTAAGTGTTTACATTGAGTTTGTTACCTACTCATATTATTATTCATAACTTATTATGGCAAATATCAGTAAATCCTTTGCCTCTGATTTACAAAAATCTTGATTTATGTAGCTTGATAAATTAAAGAATTTCAAGGTATTTTAGCAACAACATACATTAGGCTTAAACCTGTAACCATTACTATCAATCACTTCATTATTAGTGACTCTGAGGGAATATCTGCTTTTCTCTTGTCCAAGAAACACGGACATCCACATATCTAAGCCACTGAAGGCACCAACCGCTATAAGGAGCAATACAACCGCTACCACCACCGCCACCCCTTGAAGCCACTATAAAACGTCGCCGGGCTTGTACCTCATCTATCTTTACCACAGTCCTCCTAAAACTGAGCCTTTGCATCCTCTGAAAAGGCTTTCCTTAATAATCCAAAGAGAGACGCTAATCTACTTTTACCATGCCCATCTGTATATGAAAATTCTAGGGTAAACATTCATGTTCTCATTTTGGTCTCCAGTTCCAAAATACTCACACCTATCACTATCATAACCAGCAAACAATTACTACGGCAGCTCTGGTTTTATGTTTAAGTCAGCAGACCATATGACTTCCTGGAGGCCAGGGCTTAGGGCTCTGTATACTACCAAATGTACACGCACAATTATAATTCTTGTTTTTCTATAATAAAGTGGTCATCCCTCCAAAATTCATGATAAGTATAGAATTTGACTCTATTCCTGTATAAACTCTGTATGAGAGAATCTCAGATTCTTATAATTACTGATGTTAAGTATATTAAATTACAAATACCCCCAAATCAAGAAGGAATAGTAAGATAAAATAAAGCCATGTTTACATGCCTCTTTATTAAAGAAATTTTAAAAATTAAATATATAACATTAACCATCTATGTCTATAATTCAAGGAGAACAAGTCTCACCTGAGTTAATCTCTACAGATGACTATTTACTCAGATAAGTAATCAAAACTCAGTTCAATGCTTCTAGACTACTACTTTTCCCAAAATGAGTACAGAGAAACATATTAGTGCCTATATGTGTTATGTACAAGCACAACAGAGAAATAATTACATACAGCTCCAATTCAGTGACTGCACAATTGAGAATTTCCCAGAAGATGCCCTCTTGAGTTCTTAAAGCCTATGGGTACAGTTACATCGCTCTCTTAATTATATGTTTTGGAGAAACAATTTGCTTTACAACATTTGAGAAAGGAACATGCTGCCTGACTTCTTCATTCATTCCTGATAATTACTGAATCGACACCAGCCTCCAGCAGAAATAGAGAAGCAAGACCTAACAATTTCAGTTCTGGAAATACACCCGATCTGATCTTCCTACCATCTACTTTAGAGATTCATAGAAATTACAGTACTCAGCCCAAAACAATCCAGAGCAACATCTTAAGAAAAACCACTAACATACAATGAAATTTTATCAGAATTAATAGAGTCTAGATAGAGAAGAAACTTCAGATATCAGGTATTCAGGTTGGGAAAAGTCTGAAAGGTCATTTAAGTCCTATCACCCACAAGATGTTTGAATGTCCTTTTCTAAATTCCTACCAAGTGATTATTTTGCCTGTTCTAGAATACCTCCAGCAGAGAGCTCACCGCCTTCTCAGGTAGCCCGTCTCATCTTTGAATAGCTCTGACTATTAGACAACTTGTTGAATTGAGCTGAACAGTATTTCCCTCCACTTTCCATTTTATTGGCTCTAGTTTTATATCTTGGAGACAGTAAAATCTCCGCTTCACATACCAATCCTTTAAATACACGAAGACAGATACTATGTTTTCCCTAAACTGTCTCTTCAGTGGGCTAAGTATCTCTGCTCCTTTGCCTGTTTCTCATGGGACGTGGTTTTGACGCCCCTCATCATGCGTCCTAGTTAAGTTCCTCTAAGTGAACCTCAGATCATCCCGTGAGCCCCTTCCCTCACAAACTCCTCAAGCCATTTCAGCAGCTGAAGATGAGAGAAGTCAAGCAACTTCCCTTAAGCATTCATTCTATTAGGTGGTATTAAGCAGAACTAGGATTAAAACTCAAATTTCCAATTCCCTAACCCAGTGGTTCCCAAATGAGCCACTGCGTTTGATCCCGTGTGCATTAGAATCACCCAGAGAGCCTGTTACAACAGATGGCTGGGCTCCACCCACAGAGTTCCTGACTCAGTAAGTCTGGGATGGGGCCTGAAATGCGCATTTCTAACAAGTTCCTAGATGATGCTAAAGGCTGGTTCAGACACCACACTTTGAGAAGCACTACTTTAGGCCAATGGTTCTCAGATTCAAGCATGAATGAGAATCATTTGGGATGTTCATTAAATCTTGAGATTTACTCTCGCCTCCAAAGTAATTCAGTAAATCTGGGAGGAGCCTGGGAATCTGCATATTTAATAAACACCCAGGTGATTCCAATGCAGGTGATGTGGCTGTGAAACATGCCTTGCTGCCACTCTATACTTTCAAAAGTACCTGCATTTTAGGAAAATATCAGTTCTTTCACTCTAGGTGCTATATCTTTTGATTCTTACAGTGGCTTAGGATGTGAAACTTCATTCTGATGGCAGAATTGCAAAGGGACAATTCAATTTATACACTGGATCCTCTTGATTGCGTCAATTGATCGACTTAAAATTCTTTTTTTCTCTTTAAAGATTTTTTATTTTTCCTTTTTCTCCCCAAAGCCCCCCAGTACATAGTTGTATATTTTTAGTTGTGGGTCCTTCTAGTTGCGGCATGTGGGACATCGCCTCAGCATGGCCTGATGAGCAGTGCCATGTCCGTGCCCAGCATCCGAACCAGCGAAACCCTGTGCCTCCCAAGCAGAGCGTGCCAACTTAACCACTCGGCCACAGGGCTGGTCCCTCTTTTTTTCTTTTTAAATTGGAGCAGGCAAACTGTAAATTCTTTCCCAGTTCTTTCACTTTATATTTCTTTGTCCCTACATGAGCCTTATATGCTCAGTCTTTTTTTTTTTTTTTTTAGGAAGAGTGGCCTTGAGCTAACATATGTTGCTAATCTTCCTCTTACCCCTCAACCGCCCCACGAAACCCCAGTACATAGTTGTATATACTAGTTGTACATCCTTCTAGTTCTTCTATGTGGGATGCTGCCTCAGCATGGCTTAATGAGTGGTATGTAGGTCTGCGCCCAGAATCCACATGGGTGAACCCCAGGCTGCTGAAGCAGAGCATGTGAACTTAACCACTAGAACACCGGGCCATCCCCAGACTTAAAATTCTAACAAGAGCTACTCTCTGTTTTGAATGTTTTATAATACCTCAGATAAAGGTTGATAATAAGTATTATATGACACAGGTTCCACACATGCATATTAATAAAGGCCAAAGTTATCATTACCTTTGCTTTGTGAAGGTCAACGCCATACATAGACAACTTTTTGGCATTCTCAAGAAATTCCAGGTCGGCCTGAGCTGGAGTCATGGACCTTTGATAAATGAAAATAAAAAACTCCTTCAGCGTCACAGTCTCAACATTTACAATAATAACATTTGTATATTAAAAGTACTTTATATAAACACATAAACATACATATACCAAAATGTATTTAGATCTATTTCATAGTCCTGAAAGTAGAATGTTACAAAGAACTCATCACTATCTGTGTCTAAATAACTGAAATACGCCTTAGAGATTGGAGAAACAAGTCACCAAAAAGATGTCCGAAGAAAGTTTTTTAAAAAAATCCCATCAGTTTCCTTAGAGCTGCCTCCTGCCGCCATCAGTTCTGCCCCTCCCACTCCCCAGCCTTTTTCTCCAGCTCACATAAACTCCTCCCACTGATTCTTCTTGCCAACGAGGTGACCAGATTAAATCCTCTGGGGGCATGGTACAATTTACAATATCCCCTTAGCCGCCTTTTTCTCTCCATACCCCTGAATTGAGTTATTATGGAAATTAAACAGGAGGGCAGCTGAAGTTACTTAACTGGAGACTCTTAATGGGGGCAGGCTTGATGAAAAGAAAATCTCTGGTAACAGATGGTGTCCTGCCCACTGATCTAAATAAAATAAATTGGTTAATGGAAGCATGTAGATAATAGGGCTGCTTTCTCTGTTATTAAGATGTCTTCATTACTAGGCATATAATGAATTAGATTTGTTTGAAAACAACCAGTCTCATTGTCTAAACACTCACTGTGATGGTCTTTCCTTCTCCTTTATAACTTTCCTCTTTTGAAAAGTGCTCATGAACTGTTCTGTTAAGCTTTGAAAAAAAAGATATGACTCCTAGAGCTGCACTTATTCAGACCAATCCAATATAACTTCATAGTAACAATAATGCAGCCACACCCTCAAAGAAAATCCATGTAACTGCCTAGTTCCCGTAAGATTTTCCCGTAAGATTGCCTCAAGCTACACAAAGCAGCGGTGGCCTATTCACTTAACAGGAGGAAGTCTCTTGCAAACCCATCTGTCTTTACGCTCATTAAAAAGAACAAAGGGTTCCGTGGAACAACCACCAAAAACGAAAAAAAAACATCTCAGGAGAGAGGCTGAAGATTTGTTAACAACTCAGTCTCCCTGAATAAACTTCTTTTCACAAGTGCTAAACCATTATAGCTGAGTTCTATTTATTAATGGATCTGAAATTGAACCCTAAAAAAAGAGAATGGAAAAATTAACACATATGCAAGTCTGCATACTCAAGTCATTAAAAACATCTCAGAAAAGTTCTGTAGTTTTTTTTCCCCATATAAGTTATACACTTTTCTAGTTAAGGTTACTCCCAGTTATTTTTTGTTTGTTGTTGTTATTATTATTGATGGCTGGAATTTTAGGATTTTGAAGCTGGAATGGAGCTTGAAGATTGCAGAGTCCAACACTCTCATTTCGCTGATGAAGAAACAGGTCATGGGCAAGTTAGGACTTCGTTTAAGGCAGCAGGCTTTAGTCGAGACTTATGTCACATCACTGCAGCTGGAATCCTGGCTCCTGCCCTTAAGACCTGGTGTCTCCCTCAATCTCCTAACTATAAAGTAAGCATCATAATAATACCCACTTCTAGATACCAGGATAGGCAATGACTTTTTTGTCTTTGCTGAATGAATGCATGTGACTAGTAGGATAAAATGAGATAACGGTTGTGAAACTGCTTTGTAAAATATAAATTTTTGTTGTTATCGCAACCTTAGGTTTCTGATGGTACAGCAGTATATCTATATGCAGCTCACAAAAGAGAAATAATTTTGATCACTTGAATTTGAAGACAAATTTTAAAACATTAAATGAAGCAATATGATAGAATCTTCCCCGGGGCCAACCCAGTGGTATAGTAGCTGAGTTTGCGTGCTCTGCTTCAGAGGCCCAGGGTTCAGGGGTTCAGATCCTGGGCCTGCACCTACGTACTGCTCATTAAGTCATGCTGTGGCAGCATCCTACATACAGAATAGAGGAAGACTGGCACAGATGTTAGCTCAAGAACAATCTTCCTCAAGGAAAAAGAGGAAGATTGGCAGCAGATGTTAGCTCAGGGCCAATCTTCCTCACCAAAATGAAAAAAAACAAACCCCAAAAAAACCACCTTCCCCACACTCACTCCTCCAACTCTAAGGGACATTAATGGGGTCAATTTGAATATAGATTTACATTTCAAACTGTAGTTAAATGCTTTTCTAAGTGAGCATGCTTTAAGCATATATTAAGAAGAGATCTTTAATTTTAAAACTATGGCTTTCTTTGTTAGCTTTTTTTTTTTTAAAGACTGGCACCTGAGCTAACAACTGTTGCCAATCTTTTTTTTTTTCTGCTTTATCTCCCCAAATCCCCCCTGGTACATAGTTGTATATCTTAGTTGCAGGTCCTTCTAGTTGTGGTATGTGGGCCGCTGCCTCAACATGGCCTGATGAGCACTGCCATGTCCGCACCCAGGATCCGAACTAGCGAAACCCTGGGCCGCCGCAGCAGAGTGCGTGAACTTAACCACTCGGCCACGGGGCCGGCCCCTCCTTGTTAGTCTAAGATAATTTATATTTGGGGTTTAGCTGATACCTGCACTTAAAATTTTTTATATAATTTTAAAATTTTTGAAACACACAAACTTAAAAGTTACCTGCAATACAAAAATTTTTTCCTGAACCACTTGGGAGTAAATTGTCAACCTGATGACCCAGCACTTCCAAAGACTTTGGTGTGTAATTCCTACAAACAAGGACATTCTCTTACACCACCTCAATACAACTGCCAAACCAGGAGATAAGCATTCACACATTACTGCCATCTAATCCTCAGACCTCATTCAGCTTTAGCCAGTTGTTTCAAAATGTTCTGTACGGCAGAGGCACCCAGTTCAGCATCAGGATTTTCACTTAGTTCCTGTCTCTTTCGTCTTCTACAGTCTGGAACAGTTCTTTAATCTTTCTTTGACTTTCATAATCTTGACCTTTTGAAGATTACAGGCCAGTTATTCTATAGAATGTCCTTCAATCTGGGCCTGTGTGATGTTTCTCCATGAGTTACTTCAGGTTATGCACCTTTGACAGGAGTATCATAGAAGTAGCCCTGTGTTCTCCTGCGTCCTATCAGGTGGTACACGATTTCAATTTGTCCCTTCACAGATGATGTTAATTTTGATTACTGATGTCTGCCAGGCTTCTCCTCTGCGAAATTCCTCTTCACCGCTTTGTAATTAATAAACATTTTGTGGGAATGTATTTTGAAACCTTTTGAATATCCTACTCCTTGTCAAACTTTCAATTTATTCATTTATATGAGTATGGACTCATGGATTCTCATTTTGTTCAATGCAATATAATAAATTATTTTCCTTTTTTATTCTAGTGCCTAAATTGTCCCAGATTCGCTCAGTGAGGGCCTCTCCAAGCTGGATTCTGTGTCCTTCTGACCAATTCTCATCATTTTTTGACACCTCCTCTGGCACAATGTAGAATTAGAGTGTGTGAGTACGTATATATCTGTGTGCGTACCTATTTATATCTATCTATCAGAAATCACGAGTTCACACTGAAACCTCCCGTTCTGATGCAATACCACAAAGATCATTTTATTTCTCTCTCTCCTTAATTTGTATCTCCTTTTACTGACAGCGAGAAACTTGGCTCTAATTATCCTTGAAATATTGACTAATTTGATCAACTCCCTGTATATAACTCTCATCACTGCCACTGATCCCTCTCCCACGTGGATGCCCTCACCCACGTGGACTCTGAATCCCTCAGGCTGGGCTGCTCCCCACACATGGATGTCCTCCTTACCTCTCTCAGGTTCTGACTCCTGGTGTTAGGCCACCCCCTCTATGGACATCTTCTTCACCCTGCTCAGCCTTCAACACCCTGTATCAAGTACCACCCCCTATGGGTGCCCTCTACCCTATGCAGGCCTTACCCCAAGTGGATGCCCTTCCCACTCTGCTCTGCCTCTGATAACTACCATCACACGCCCACACATGACTACCTGCTTCATCCTATCTGAGCTCTGACTCTTCATGCCAGGCTGGCCCCCCACCCATGCACACTCTCTCCACCCTCTGTAGGCCCCAGTGTCTGCTGCCAGTCTGCCCCTCTGCGTGAATGACTATCTGGCTCTACCTCACCTAATGACTTTAGAACAAAATCGTTTCAGGAAGCTTTCTCTGATTATAGAAATCATACACATTCATTGTATAAAATTTGGAAAATATCTTTAAGAGCATAGGAAATAAAAGAAAATCTCCCATAATCCCACCACCCATAGACATTTGTGCATGTAAGTATAACACATATTTTACAAATTTAATATCACAAACTAACTTATTTTCAACTTAAATTTTAAAGATCATGGTTTTTCCTAAATTTTCCAAGACTCTTGAAAGTAATAGCAAACCAGCTGGGAAGAGATTAGATACCTCTAAACCACAAGTACTGTCTTGGATTTATTCAGTACCACCTAATAATTTACGACTTGAAAGTAGTGCAGCTTACAAAAGAACCCAGCCAGGGAGCCTCGGCGCTGGTTAACTCTTGCTCATTAAAAAGAGAAGTTATAACAAAGTTTCCCGTGTTTATTTTGAGCAAGTGGGGTCAGGATATAGATCCATTCAGTCAGTTCCAGTGTTACGTGACAGCCTTTTAATAACATTTAGTTGCGTCTCCTAATTAAGGACTGTGATTTCAAATAATTAAGTGGGGGAGTACTGAAACGTTTACATACCTTCCTAGTACCCAAAAATGGAGGGCAGTTAATTTGAAAGCTTGATTTGCTAGTGTAAATGTAAAGTGTTAATTATAGCTTCAAAGTCTCTGTCTGGGCAAAGGGCCATTACTAAGGCTTCCACGTACGTAGGCCGTCTTCTGTTTATCTGAGGACCAGGGTGGTATTTGCTTGTACTTTTCAACGCAGAGTGAAACGCTTCTGCCTAAGCAGAAGTTTCTTTGGATTGGCTAACATGCCATGTTGTTGAACACAATTAAAATTTCCACGTGGCTTTCTATTTGTGTGGGTTGCCAATCTCTCCAAAAAGGAGCAAGTAAATTCCAGGATGACAGACTTCTAAATTTTCTAGTCATGGAGATCCATTATTACTCAATTTCTATCCATATCCCTAATAGAACATCAACTGGACCATATCCCTCTGTCCTCTGAGATTGTTTCACTTATTTGGGTTTAAATTCTAAGTTCCAAAGAGTGGTTCTCTAAACCCAGACTCACATTCATCACTTGTAAAACGAGGATAAGAATTTATTTTATTTTTTTTAGTGAGGAAGATTCACCCCGAGCTAACATCCATTGCCGATCTTCCTTCATTTTTTTTTTTTTTGCCTTGAGGAAGATTAGCCCTGAGCTAACATCTGTGGCAACCTCCTCTATTTTTCGAACTAGGATGCCTCCACAGTGTGGCTGATGAGTGGAGTAGGTCTGCACCCCAGATCCAAACCCATGAATCTGGGCTGCTGAAGTGGAGCGTGTGGAACCTTAACCACTTAGCCACAGGGCCGGCCCCAAGAATTATTATTATCCTAGCAAACATCTGAATTCTCACTATATAATAATCATTGTGCTAAGCACTTTACATGAATTTTCTGATTTAACAGTCACAAAATTCACATTATCACCCTTATTTTTCAGATGAAAAAATTGAAGCTTGGAGAGCTTAAGTAATTTACTAAGAGTCATAAAGTTAATAAGGAATATCTGAATTCAAAGTAAGATAGGCTGACTCCAGAGCCTATGCCTTTGTCTTATTGCCTAGCTCACTGGTTCTTAAATTTTTTGACCTAAGGATCCCAGCACTCTTTAAAATTACTGAGGACCCCAAAGAGCTTTTCTTTATGAGGGTTTTTTCTACCAATATTTACCATATTAGAAATTAAAACTAAGAACACTTTAAAATATTTATTAAATCCTTGAAGAATAACAATCATAAACTCATATTTTAACATGAATAACTTTTTGTGTGAAACATAATATTTTCCTAAAAGGTAGTTAAAAAGTGACATTGTTTTACAAATTTATAAATTTCTTTAATGTCTGGCTTAGAAGACAGCTGGGTTCTCCTATCTGCCGCTGCATTCGATCTGCTGTAGCACGTTGATTTGGTAGTATATGAAGAAACCTGATCTCACACAGATACACAGATGGAAAGGGGAAGATGGATGATCAAAAATATTTTTCTTTGATACTACACCAAAACTCAATAATGACAGTTTCTTAAATGTTAGCTGCACTGTGAAATCTGAAAACATACCAATGAACTTTTTGTACCATGTTACATTAAAATCCATTGATCTATCTTGCGTTCTGAGTGGACCTTTTTCACCCATGCATGACTTTGTAATATCATGCATTTCACGTCTGAAAAATATTGGTTCATCGAGTAATACAAGTTTTCGAAATGTTGATACATTTCATTGTATAATAATATTTAAAAAATCATATTCATTAAAATCATCACCAACTTCATCAGAGAAGTCTTTAAGTATTTGGAACCTGTCAACATCATGACAGCAAATATAAGTCTTCCAAAATTCTAATTTTCACTTGAAAGCTTGAATTTTGTCATTAGCAACAAATACTGTCAGTTGTTTACTAACTCTAAAAGTACTGGCTCACTTCATTTTTGAGAAAACATCTGCCAAATAACCAAGTCTGAATAATCACAGTTACTCATTTTTTTCCGAGTGAAAATGGTGTTCCATAAAAAAGGTGACTAATTCAGCTCATAATTCAAAACAATTACACAAATACTTTTCCTGGAGACAACTGTTGGACTACAGTATGCAGCCAAAGGGCTTTATGTGTGCTTGCCATTTAACCACATACAATATTAAATAGACATATATTTAAGATTTAATAAAATTAACACTTTTTACTGCTTCATCAAGAAAATTTTTAAGTGAACTGGCCCTTTTAGTTTTATTTTTAATTTCAAGTTAAAAAATAAAATAAAAGTACATATTGGTAAAGAATATAATGACTACTAGTACACTTTGGTGCCATTTTCTTGATTTGTGCTCCACCCATTTCAACACAGTGAAAAAGGCAAATAATATCTTAGTATTATTATGAAAAGAATTTCAACCTCATAAACCCCTTGAAAGAATCTTGAAGACTGCCAGGGGCCTGTAAATCACTTCTGGAGAACTGCCAGCCTAACTCATAAGGGTGGTTATAAAGATTAAATGTGGTATTGTATATAAAGTGCTCAGCATAGTATCTGGCACATAATAGCAGACACACAATAATTAGCTGCTTATAATTATGATGATGATTATGTAACAATGCTACAAAGGAGAATAAGCACTGATGAGACTATAAAGCCCTCCCAAATCTGAGATTCTGCTATAATCAAATAACAAAAGAATCATCAGAAATAGATTTAAGGGATCTATGAAAATCTGTCACCACTGTTTTCCGCTGTTTGGCTCCACAGCAGCAGTAAAATATTTCCTTTTATTATTTTACTATTTGCCCAAAGATTATACTACTACTAATAAAAATCATTTTTAAATTATTAGAAAGTAAAAAGAACATTCCCCTACAATCCTGACATTCTAACAAATCAAATTATTTTAATTGATTGTTTCTTCCCATTATGTGTTTTTGTATGTATATATGTATGTGAACATATATTTATCTTTTTACAAATACATAAAAACTTCTAGAATCACAATCAGAATATAAATAAAAATATTTAAAAATGTACTTAAGGACAATGCAACATCCTTAAGTTACATCAACAAGTCGAAAGTGGTGCGTTTAGTGGTCTTAGACATCCGGGCATTGGAATGTGTATGCCTAAACTTGAAAAGCAAACTTTGGCAGTTCTCCTTGGAAACAGTGTGATCCCAGGAGAGAAGACTGATTCTTATAAGACCACTGCTATGTAGATTGTAGACGTTAAGGCCCTTATTATGGTTCCCACGACTGAAGCACCAGAACCTACAGGGGCAATAAGGCAGCCAGGATTGGGGCACCTTGAGTTACAGCTCACTTATTTGAAGCACCCCAATCCATGCAATGCTAATGGGGTCACTCCAAGGAAAACGAGATGGTGCAATGGCTGGACAGAATACTTTTTACTACCATGGAAAGCCTACTAAGACCAGTCTTTGGACTTCTCTCTTAGCGGTGTGACCTCTGGAGCATTGTAACCCAACTCACGCTAACATAACTCAGGGTACTAACTCAAGGCCAAGATCAGACATTCACATTAATAAGTTAAGTCAGCTGGTAAAATTTAGCCATAACAAGTTACTTAAATAATAATGGGATATATGGTAAGAAGAAACAAATTATTCTGGCACTTCAATATTGGCTAACATTTATTGAATTTTTACTACATAAGACACTGTCAAGTCTTTCCACACATTACCTTTTATTATCCTATAAATCACCCTATTTCCCCTGAGGTAATGATCTCCATCAGACATATAAGGAACCTGAGGCTCAGAGACATTAAGTGAATTACGCAAGGTCACAAGGCCAGGACCAAGCAGAGCCAAGATTTCAACCCAGCTCATTCTGACCACAAGCCCTTGCTCTTGATTACTGTGTTATGGTACTTTCCAACATTACCAATTATTGCCATGAAAAAAAGCAGTGAATTCAATGAAGACTTTAAAAAATACCTTCAGGGGTTTCATGGGCCCCCTGAAGTCTACCCACGGACGTAGATCTCAAGTTAAGAACCCCTTCTCTAAGGATGTCAAGAAACTTAATACAGAATAATAAGTTTAAAATCTGAAAAAGAGAGAAAAAGGTAAGGCAGTTATAATAATAGTTACTATTTACTGAGTACCTACTATGTGCCACACCCAGTGCTTAATGCCCTACATACATTACCTGATTTAGTTTTCATCCTACAACGCAACACCCATTACTCTGATGAGAAAACTGAGGTGCAGAGGGCTTAAATGACTTGCCCAAAGAATTTGGAGGGAAACTGAGCTCACGCTGACTCTACGGCACCACGTATTGGCTAAGACAAACACGTGAATCCATCCCAGGTCAAGGGTTTAAACTTATTGCCAAAATAAACAAAGAAAACCCTGGAGACATATTTACCTGTATGACTTATGCAGTTCCATGACCTTCTCTTCAAGTTCCTTGGTCTGATTTGGGGCCAGTTTAAAATCACTGACATAATCTGCACCATGGAGTTCTGGGTCATAGTCTCCCAGCTCAGACTGGACGGTGTAAGAACCTAATAACGCTAAGGTTGCAAAGGAACAAGGCAGACGTCCTGCAACTATGTCCTGCCGAAGCTGCAGACATAAATAATATCTATAGCCAAAAGAGAGAAGATGTTACCATGTCAGCAACAACAACAATAACAAAATAGAGAGAGAGAAAAAGGAAGAACAGGGTGAGCGAGGGAGGCAAGGAGACAGAAAAAAAAAAGAGAGATTAAGTAAATATGAGATAATATTAAAAATTGTTCAGTCTAGGTAGTGGATATACAGTTGTTCGTTGAACCAGCATTTTTTCCTTTCCATGTGTTTGAAATTTTTCCACATAAAAAGTTAAAAAAAAAAAAACCCTGTAACTACGGTGGACTCGTGGTTGGAAAGCAGTTTAGAAAGAAAAGAGAGGGGCCGGCCCTGGGGTGCAGCGGTTAAGTGTGCGTGTTCCGCTTCGATGGCCCGGGGTTCACCAGTTCGGACCCCGGGTGCGGACATGGCACCGCTTGGCAAGCCATGCTGTGGGAGGTGTCCCACATATAAAGTGGAGGAAGATGGGCACGGATGTTAGCTCAGGGTCAGTCTTCCTCAGCAAAAAGAGGAGGATTGGTAGCATATGTTAGCTCAGGGCTAACCTTCCTCAAAAAAAAAAAAGAAAGAAAAAGTTGGGAAAAGTAGAAGGAGGTAAAGAAACTAATATTTTGTTGAGAGCACTAAGTACCGTACATATATAAATTATCTAATCGTCACACAAAAACTTGTGAGGTGGGTATCAGTGCCAGATTACAGACAAAGAGGCAGCCTCAAAGGCTAGGCTTGCTCAAAGTCAGATACTAATAAAGGCTGGTTGACTCCAGAATTGGACCCTTTCTTTTCTATCACACTGCTTTGCCAAATGTGTACATACTACCCTTTATAAACAAAGGTGACATTATTGACACATTTTCACTAGGATATGAACATTTTTCAGTGTGTTTTTCCTCCAAGATGGGTTAAGTTGCATGCAGCCTTCCACGTACTATCATCTTGTAAGACTGATTCCACCTGTGTGCTAAACTGTTGGGAATTCAAGTTTGGGTTAAAACAGGTCAGTTTTTAACCTGTACGTACGTAGAGTGTCCCTACATACATTAGACACTCCTCTCTGTCAGTATAATGTTCACACCTATGACTCTGACCTCCTTAGCACTCGTTCTAACTGACTGAGTTGACCACTTCAGACTTTTTACCAACCAGGAAAACCGGAAGGTTATGATTAGATTGAAATTCCTATATTAATTAGAATCATATCCTAGCTTTGACCATAGTAAGATGTTGAATAACAAAGGCAACAGCAATAGCTTTTGCTCTCTAGGCTCACTACCTACGTGTTTAAAAAAAAAAAGAGCAGGGGCTGCCCCGTGTCTGAGTGGTTAAGTTGGCGCACTCCGCTTCAGCGGCCCAGGGTTTCCTGGTTCAGATCATGGGGGCGGACATGGCACTGCTCATCAAGCCATGCTGAGGCGGCGTCCCACATAACACAACCAGAAGGACCTACAGCTAGAATATACAACTATGTACTGGGGGGCTTTGGGGAGAAGAAGAAGAAAAAAAATTAAAAAAGAAAATTGGCAACAGTTAGCTCAGGTGCCGATCTTAAAAAAAAAAAAAAGAGCAATGCCAACCAAGTCACAAGAATCTTAAACTCCTCTAAAATGTAGGTAATTAGCAAAGATTTTTAGGGATTTGTTTTGTTTTACACATAATAAACCTCAGTGAAGAAAGATGACCAAGGAGCAACTCTAAGAGACAAATATTACCTGTGAAAAAGAAATAACCAAAACAATTTTTTCAAGCAGAGATAGGGCACCTCAACTTCAAGAATGCACTAAGGATAACTAGACAAAGAATAATTTTAAAAAATAGTACTGACATTCCACAGTACTTAATCACTTTTTAAGAGTTTACTTAGGCTATTCCCTTATTTGAGAGACATGAAAACTGAGACCCAGAGATTGTATATTTGTCTGAAATCAGATAGTTGACAGCAAAATCAGAATTAGAAAGCACTTTCTCAACAACCAACAGTTCAATTCAACAAACATTTGCTGCGCGCCTACTATGTAAAATGCTGCATGTAAGACACTATGGACATAAACACGTACAGTAGACCTCTTTACAATACACTGCTTTTCCAGTTCCTTTTTTTGTTAATATTTACATAGAATCCAGTAAAGGCTAGTTTCTTCAAAGAAATTAGTAAGCTGTTTTTAAAGAGCATAAAATTTATTTCATAAATTAATGGGCTCAAAAATTACTAAGATTCAGTTCATGAGAATCATGTACCTAGTCATGCACCTTAAAAGGGAGATCGAAAGAGCTAATAATAACATTGAGACTTGGCTTTTTCGATCCTTATAAAATAGATCACGGTGGGAGAAGAGTATTGGGAAAAAAAAGCAACCCACAAAGAGCAGAGCTATTTTGCCACTCTATTTGTGTCTTGCCCTTTGGAGAGTGGTGTAATTTATAGGTTCCCTGTCCATGGCCTGGCATAATATCCATGTTAGGCAAGGCTAATGCCCCTGCCAATTTCCTCCAGGCAAGCCACAGATATTTGAGGCTTTTAGCCTCACTTATTTGCAAGCTTGCCTTGAAGTGACCAGAAACTTCCTATCTTAGATTAACAGCTCATCATTTTTCTTCAGTTCTGCATAGGGAATTCCCAGAGCTTATGATAATGAGAATAACTTACTATCTATTTAACTATTAATAAATTATTTACCTTGTTATATCTTCTGTTAACTGTGCTGGGTCAGGTGGGTAAAACTTTACATTAAATATGAAATTCCAAGGGACACCTGTAAAAATAAACACAAAAGAAATTTATGCTTATGCCTAAGTTTCTGACTGCTAGAAGCACCTAAAAATATTCAAAATATTCTTTTTTTCCCCTGAGGTCTTTTAATATTTTCATGCTTTGTGGAGAAAATATCACTTTTATTTAAAAAAGAAAAAGAAGAAAGTTATTTAGACACCATTTAAGAGTTAGAGGATTTCATTTTTTCACCCAACTTAATACAATAGTTTTGTTTACAAAGGACTAAAACTATGCAGGCAAAACACATTAAGGAAATCATCCTACAGGTCAACATGTTTGCAGCATGGTTTTCAAAATGTGATCTATATACTACTCAGGGTCCTCAGAGGTCATTCAAGTGATCCATGGATGCTCTTTTTTGGTTTGGGCATTATTTATTTGTGATATCTCTCAATATTATCTCAGATAAACACAAGCATTCTTCCTGTTAACATGGGTGAGATTAGGAGATTATTTTAGAAATAAGAAGGAAGAGGTAAGATATGTTGCTCCTAGAAACTATAGCTCTAATAAAAATATTTTACGTATGAAAAATACAAGAGTTCAATCCTAAGACTCACACAAGAGTGTCATATTTTTTATCTACAATGAAAATAAGAGATTATGAGTAAAAGTTAAATGGAATATGCATTTCAATTTTTCCAGCTAGGTGCTACCTTTAGGGTTTTTCTAACATGACTATTGTCTTCTCAAAGAGTAGGGCCTGATCTCAGGCAGAAACAAGCATGATGAGTTATGATGCTAAAAGTTGACATTTTGTTCAGTATCTATTGCATGCCAGGCATCAGGCTGGCCCTCTTACATCACAGTAACTCATTTAATCCTCACAGAAACCCCTAGGAAGTAAGTATTACTATTTATTCATTTTATAAATATATGTATCTAAACATATGCTTAAATGTGGTTGAAATGATATATGTATAAGATCTTGTTTGTAATAGCAAATGTCTGGAAACAACCTAAATATATTTATTTATTAAGAGAAGCTATATCTCCAAGATACAGTGTTAGGTGAAAAAAATCAAGGCCAAAAGTATACATATAGAAAGCAACAGTGAAAGCTGGGGGGTAGAAAAAGTACATATTACACATATGATTATACGTACATGCACAGACCATCCCTATAAGGACACAATAAACTAGTTATAGTATTTGGGAAACCAGGAAGGGGAACTCCCGGGGAAGGAAACTGAGAGGCCAGGAGGAAACGGACAAGAGGGAGACCTACCTTAACTCCAAAAAATATGTTTTTAAAAAAGAGACGCACAAAAGATAATAGGTACTAGTATATTAAAATCATCTATCCATTAATCCAGATCCCCCAATGACCTCAAGTTATTAGACCTAATCAAATGAAAACATTAAAAAAAACCCTGTATTCCAATTGGATTTTTCTCTCCATTTAATGCAAAATAAGGAAGTTTAACTGTATTAGAAATAATTATATCTAAACAGAAATGACCCAAATATTAACTCTCTTACTTTTGTTAATAGCACTTTTAAGAAGAGGAACCCAAACTTTCCATGCAAGACATACAAGTCTGGGATACTGCTAAAGAAGATAGCCAGTTTCCCTGCAAGCAAGCTCAGGGTTAAACGCAATAGAGAGTGATTGAAAGTTAATCACTTGGAATGCAAAAAATATTAAAGCCAAGCTCTAGTCAGTGACCATTTTTAGAATACAATATATATAACTGTAATACTCTATAGAGAATATTTAGTGAGAGAAAAAAACGGTGGCTGGAAAAGCTCTAAAAATTTTTAATATTAAAATTTCTGCCTTCGAACTCAGCAACACTTCAATGACATTCCTGCCAAAAGTGTATAACCCGAAGACTCATGTACCACGAGGAAACATCAGACAAACTCAAAGTGCCCACTTACAAAATCACTGGTCTAGACTCTTCAAACTGTCACTGTTATAAAATACTTCAAAAACTCAGGAACTGTTCCAGATCAAAGAAAACGAAAGAGATCTGACAACTAAATGCAAAGTATCACCTTGGACTACAGAGATTAACCCAAAATGTCCATCAATAGGACTGGTTATACATATTATGTTACAACTATAGAATCATTAAAAAAGTTTTAATGAATGAAACAAATTTATATATGTTGATATGAATAATACTCCGAATTATGTTAAATAAAAAGATTGGTTGCATATTTATATTAAATACATATAAATATATCCATATTACTTATACTTAAATACATATTTATATTAAAATATATGTGTACGTATATACTCAGAACATCTCTGGAAAGAACACAAAAAATTAGTTAAACGACAGAGGTAGAAGGGAGATTTACCTAATACCATATTTATCTGTATCTTTTAATTTTATACCACATATTTATATCATCTACTTAAAAATTAATTCAAAGACTACCTATAGCATAATACACAGTACAAAACAATGTATAGCATGATTGTATTTCTGAAAAGCAAATTCTATATATGCCTAGAAAAAATCTTGTAGACTATACCAATTTAACAGTGATTAAATCTGAAGGACAGGATTTAGTGGCCTTTTGCTTTCTCTATGATATATTTTCATAATGTTTAAATTTTTCACAATGTGTATATATTACTTGTGTGATGAAAAACATTTTTTAAAAACTCAACCTTTGCAATAAATAAATGTCAATCTTCTCTTTGGCTTCATGAAATGTTTATATTTTGATTCCCTATTAAAGTTTGTGTTAGGGACATAGTTTTTCTTTACTATGCTGAAGGAAGAGTTTTTAATATTTTGTAAAATTTTTTGTTCTTTGTCTGCTGAGGAAGATTTGCCCTGAGCTAACGTCTGCCAATCTTCTTCTTTTGGTATGTGAGCTACCACCATAGCATGGCCACTGACAGACAAGTGGTATAGGTCTGCACCAGGGAACCAAACCTGGGCTGCTGAAGCAGAGTGTACCAAACATAACAGCGAGGCCACTGGGGCTAGCCTTGTAAATTTTTTTTAAATGACACTTAGGTTCTTTTTGTTAGTAAGAGATTTTTTTTTAATAACCAGGAAGGTAATCTACTAGATACTCTTCTCCAGTCATCATAAACTCTGGGGTTTGTTTTTTTTTCCCCAAAGATTGGCACCTGAGCTAACTGTTGCCAATCTTCTTCTTTTTTTTTTTTTCTGCTTTTTCTCCCCAAATCCCCCCAGTACATAGTTGTATATTTTAGTTGTGGGTCCTTCTAGTTGTGGCACGTGGGACGCTGCCTCTGCATGGCCTGACGAGCAGTGCCATGTCCACACCCAGGATCCAAACCAGCGAAACCCTGGGCCACCAAAGCGGAGCATGTGAATTTAACCACTCGGCCACGGGGCCAGTCCCATAAACTCTGTTTTAACTTTTCTTCTTAAAGAGTCTTCTTGCATAATCATTTGTTCCTGAGTAATATTGAATATTAAAAGTATCTTCATTGAAAGGGGCTAGGAGTTCTGCTTTTCTTGTCACGTCTCAAATATTGCTGACTTGCATTTTAAAACAAGATCTTATAGGCAGGGAGCAAATGTGGAGACTTGCCAGTCCACTGGTATATTTTGTTTCGCTATCTTAAGAAATATAAATTATAATTAGGTCTAAAGGAAAACGTTTCAACATAACAAAAATGTTTTCTTTTAAGGAACAAATGAAAAACAAAATTTGTTTTCAAGTGATAAAGAGTTAAAACTTACTAATCATGATGAATAACATCTCTTACAGTTCCTAGAAGTTTCCTCAAAAACAAAGTAAACTAAAAGGACATCTAGTCAAAAATGGGTGTAGGGGCTGGCCAGGTGGTGCAGTGGTTAAGTGCACATGTTCCACTCTGGTGACCTGGGGTTCGCGGGTTCAGATCCCAGATGTGGACATGGCACCACGTGGCAAGCCCTGCTGTGGAAGGCGTCTCACATATAAAGTAGAGGAAGATGAGCACGGATGTTAGCTCAGGGCCAGTTTTCCTCAGCAAAAAGAGGAGGATTGGCAGCAGATGTTAGCTCAGGGTAATCTTCCTCAGAAGTCTCTATCCTTTAGCTAGCCCATTGGGCCTGGGGCTACAAAATACTAATTTACACTTTTTTCGACCTAGAAGCATTCATCCCAGGACATCAGTCTGAGCAGAGTGTACAGCAGTAGTATGTCCTAGAGGGCTGGGAGCTGGGAGAAAGCCACAATGCGAGAAGCGCCACTGGCAAAGAATCCTCATTCTTCTATTCTTTTCTACTCTTCCATAGTCTCTTACACTTCGATTTGGAAGAGGACTGTTGAAAAGGGACAAAAAGAACTATAGAGAGGAAAACATGGAGAGGCTTAGAACGCAAGAGTCCAGAACAATTTAGAAGGAACAGAATGAGGCAGCAGCCTCCTAACTGCAGGCTACTACAGTTTCAATCACTACCCTTTTGAGAACCGACTCCCATATCCTTTTCCTCTTCTCATCTTTGTTCTTTTCTACCTTCTGTTTCTCTCAACCATTCCTATCTTCCCGAACTTTGCCTGGTTGTAAAAAAAAAGTCATCAAGATCTGACCTACATCTCAAGAGCATCCACCTCTGCTGTATCTTTCTATTATGGAATCTCCTTCTTCCAGGGGAAGGCTTTATCTCAGTTTCAATGCCATCTGCCATAGCCAGGATTCTAAAGTGACTCAGAGCCAGAAAATGGTTGAAAATCCTCTGACCTACTAAAAGAAAGGAAGAACTATAAAAAGAGTTATAGTCACTTACCACGAACCTGCTTTTTTATTTCTTTGGCAGGATCCAGCCATGTCTGTAAAAAGAAGAAAAGGCATTCACACAGAGCTCTAAAACACATAAACAACAGAGTCCCAGAAGTAGGATTACTGACCATCTTAAAGTAGGGCCTCCAGGTCAACCTACTTTTCCAATCTTCTTTGCAATAATTTCACACAGCATAGTAATTCTGAGCACAGAAATAGGGAGCCAGAGAGCTGGGCTTGAATCCCAGCTCCTCTTCTTCCTACTGAGTGACTTTAGGCATCTCTATACCTCAGTTTCCTCATCTATTAGAGGAAATTAAAATAAGATAGTAGTAGTAGTGTCTATCTCACAGAGTTATTGTGAAGATTAACCATGTTAATAAATGTAAAGCTCTTAGCAAACAAGAAATGCTAAAAAAGCACTTGCTATTATTATTCCGTAAAGACTAGTAGAGATCTACAACCAGGATTAACCGACATCACTCATCTTATTTTCCCTCCAGCTCTGAACTCTGGTCTCATTCAAGTTTTCTACGAGTGAATGACTGTTTTCCCTGACTACTCTTGCCCACACTGATTTCCCCCCTCACTGTTCTCCAACGCCACTTAAAGTCGGCACACCATAGGGCAGGGCTCCTCAACCTGTGGTGGACCATGAAAATAACGGCACTTGAAAAGAGCCTCACCATTAACGTCTTTCACAGGCTCTTGGGAAATGTTTAAAGGAATAAACTTCTAAATTGAATTATTTAAAACATTTTCATTGATATAAGAGATATACAGAAAAGTACATAAAACATAAGTGTATAGATCAATAAAATATCAAAATGAACATACAAGTATAACATGACCATCACCCCAGAAGCCCCTCTTATGCCTCCACCTAACCCCTCCCCATTCCTTCCTCCAAAAGGTTTAAAAATGAATTTTAGTGGTATTTAGGAAAGAGGCATAAGGTGCCCCCTCCTGACCCTCTACCAACAAGGGCAAAAAGCACAAGGTGACCGTCCATTTGCCGTAGCTAAGGAATGGGCTAGAACACCATAGTCTTCTATTTGATTATACACTACTTTAACTGTTATATAAAGATAGTCACCACAGCAGACAATAAGCACAGGAGTGGGGACTAATTTCCTTTTTATCTCCCCTGCCCCTCCAATTAACACAGAAGATTAAGAAATATATGTTAGAAAATACTGCTTAATATAAAACTGTCCTTAGTATAAAAACTAAGCACACATTTGTTTAAGGCCTGTCAGAAAAGTAGTAATCTTCATTTCTCATTAAGACTAAAGAACTTCAAATTATTGCAGGTCCAGAGACAAAGAAAGACTTTAAAAGCACCAATTGATAAGTTTTCTGGAAGCTCTGAGAACCATAGTTTACACTATGCAATCCAGAACTCTTAACAAAGACTCCTTTCCACCTCATTCGAACGAACATCTCCCCACCACAATGAGGCAACTCTCTATTTCCCGTTATTTTTTTAAGAGAAATCTCCCAAGGTAAACTGAAGCTGCCAAGTTTCTTACAGGCATTCCATAAGCCATTCTGTGACTCTGGAGCTAGAATTCCTACCAGTTTGACAGAAAGAGGGCAAACTCAGATTTATGTCAATCACATGGGACTCCAAGGTATAAGCTACATTATAGAACAAATTATTGCTTCAACATCTAGACCTCCAAATAAAAATAAAAAACAAAAACAACGTTACAAGATAGTAAAAATCAATGTATATAAGAATAAGTACTTTTATGCTCAATTTAAATTACTCAATTCACAGCATTTTATTTGGCCAACAAATATTTGAGGAATGCGTCCATGTGCTAGGCACTGTAGTCACAAAAAAAAGATTAAAAATACTGCCTGTCCTCAAGGAGCTGTCAGTCTAATAGAAGAGGTGAACAGTGAAAAATGAATTTGTTTGTTCTAGATGTGGTGATTACCATGACAGAAATGTGAGAAGGGGCTGGCCCTGTGACATAGTGGTTAAGTTCTTGTGCCCACTTCGGCGGCCCGGGGTTTGCGGGTTTAAATCCTAGGTGTGGACCCATACACTACTCATCAAGCCATGCTGTGATGGCATCCCAGATACAAAACAGAGGAAGACTGGCACAGATGTTAGCTCAGCGACAATCTTCCTCAAGCAAAAAAAGGGAAGACTGGCAACAGATGTTAGCTCAAGGCCAATCTTCCTCGCCAAAAAAAAGTGTGAAATGCCACGATGGATCATAGAGAGCTCTAAAAGCACAGAGGAGGTATACCAAAATGGATTGGAGATAAGAAGCAGTTAGGCAATAGTTTCACAAAAGAACATTTGGGAGATCTAAACTGATTCTTGAAGGACAAACAAGAGTTAGCCAGGCAAAAAAGAAGACAAAGTAATTAGAAAGGCATAAAGAATAAGAGAGAACATGACACATCTGAGTCACTGCATGTAGTTGGGTACAGCTGGCGCACAGAGATAAGGAGGAGAGATATAAAATGGAAACGAATGGTAAGGGCCAGATCAGGCAGGACATGGTATTCCATGGTTAGAAACTTGGACCTTAACAAGTTCTAGGCAAGGGGGAGTCACTGAAGGATTTAAAATAAAGGAGTGGCGTGAATTAGAGGAAGCACGACTGTAGACAGGGAAACCAAATAAAAGGTTGCTGTTGAGAACGGTAATTGCATCCAGAAGAGAATAATGGTTATGGGTACAGGCTTCAAAGTCAGTCTTGAGTTCCAGTCCTGTCTCAACCTCTCCACCATTTACTAGCTGTGTAACCTTATATAAGACAATCTTTTTGAATCTCAATTTTCTCATATATAAAATTGGGATAAAAATACCCTCCCTCACAGAGTTATTGTGGATTAAATTATTTGATGTATAAAAAGCACATAGCCAGTACTCAATAAATTGTACTGATATTGATAATCAAAAGGGCCTGATGGGATAAAGTCTATGGGACAGAGAAGACAGATATTTAGGAGCTAAAATGACTGACTAGATAGGGTATGGGGGGCGGGCTGCTGCTGATGAGAATTGGTAAGGTGTTATGGTAAGGGATAATTCCCAAGTTGCTGGCTTGGGCAGGGTGGATGTGGTACTATTCACTGAAATAGCAAATACACTGAAAAGGAATACATTTTCATGAAGAAGAAAAAAATAGCAAAAAACTGGAAACAACCAAATGTTCATCAACAGTAGAATAAATAAATTATGGTATATTTATACATGCTTAAACTATCTTTGGGGATCCAAGTAAAATATTTCGATAGATAGTTAAACAAGCAGGCCTCGCAGTCAGAAGAGAGATTCGAACCAGAGATACAAATTTGGGCACTTTCCCCATACAGGTAGATGAAACTATGAAATTAGAAAGAAATCACCCAGGGAGCAAACAGCAGAATGAAAAGTAAGAAACTAAAGATAGACCCTTGGAGAACACTGACATTTAAGGGATGGAGACTGGACAAAGAGCTGAGAAGTAAACTGAGACAAATGACCCAAGCGGTAGGAGGAAAACAGGAGACTAGGTTCAAGGAATCCAAAGGAACAGAAAGTTTCAAGGATGCAAAGTCAAGCCCACGAACGCTGCAAAATAGGCACATAACATGAGGATGAAAAACATGAGGATCTTGGCAAGGGCAGTTTCAGCGGATTGATAAGGGCAGAAATCAGAGTGCAATGAGTTATACCAAGTGCAGGTGAAGATGTGGCACAGCTGGAACTCTCATTCACTGCTGGTGGGAGTGTAAACTGCTAACACCACTTTGGAAAACTGTTTGATAGTATCTACTAAAGCTGAACAACCCAGTAATTCCACTTCCAGGAATACACCCAACAGAAACGAATATGACAAATAAGAACTAAAAGACATGTACAAGAATGTTCCTAGCAGCAGTATTCATAAAAGCCCCAAGCTGTAAGCAAACCAAACACCCATCAACAGCAGAATGCATAAATAAAGTGTGGCATCGTCAAACAACGAACTATTACACAGCAACGGGAACGACGAACTGCGGCTACTTCCAAGAACACGGATGAATCTCAAAAATACACTGTCAAACAAAAGAAGTCAGACCTAAGAGAACAAATGTGTGATTTAATTTATGGAAAGTTTAAAAACAGGCAAAACTAACTGATGGTGATAGACGTCAGGAAGACAAGTGTTACCTTTGATGGGGGCGGGATAGGAGTGACAATTGTTAGGGGATGGGGGTAGTAACTGGGAGGGGGCACAAGGGGGATTCTGGAGTCCTGGTAATGTTAATTTTTTGATCTTGGGAGTGTGTTCACTTTCTAAAAATTCTTTGAGATATACATGTATGATTTGACACATCTTCCTGATTTATGTTATAGTAATCGGCAGTGAAGAAACAGATATTTATGTGTAAACTAATTTCTCAAAGAGCATTGGTTGTGAAGGAGAAGAGAAAGAGAGGGTTACAGCTAGGGGAAAGAGGCAGAAGTTAACCTTTAAAATAACAAAATATTGAGAGGATAAAAGTTATAAAACTCTATTTTAGTAGGGATCTTAAGATGCCCCCTAAAATAGCATTTCTGGATTACCTTCTAGTTTCTAGTCGAATACTTTCAGTTGCAAGGATTCCCTTTCAAGAGTCCATTTTACCAATCATATCTTGTGAGTTAAATAAATTAACATTTTAAACAGAATTTAAATTTTGTGCTTTAAAAATAATTGCATTCCTTCTCAAGCTTAAAAAAGCTTCAAAATAATATATAGATGGAGAGCGGCAATATCCTGACATAGATCTCTGTTTATTCAACTGAAGAATTACAGGAATCGCATGTGCTCTATTTTAAAACACCAGCTCACATGTTATTCCTTTCACTTGGAATACTCTATCCCCATTTCTTCATCTGGAAAATTCCTATCTCTTATAATTCAGATCTTAAGTTATTTTCTGCAGAAAACCCCTTCTAGGTGGATGCCCATCTACTGTTGTCCCATATTCAGTCCAGGAGCTCCCTGAGGAAAGACTATGTCTTTTATAGCTCTGCCCAACATAAGACAGATGCTATCTATTCAATAAATGTTTG